TAATTTATTCAATAGGGCAAGGGCCCTAATTACAGCTCAGACCGACTCAATTCACACGGTTTTGGAACTTAATTAGCATTAAAAAATTTCTAGGGAAAAATGAAATAAAGATGTGTCTAGAAACTTGAAAATTGTAATGATAGACGGACGCTGAGTTTCAACAACGTTTGATCTGAAACTGAAGCTAACCCAATGGTAATTAACAGTCATTAGATTATCTGTTTAAGTACGGATAGATTTAAAAGAGGTCATCATGTAATGATGTTTTCATTATGTAAAACTCAAAAGCATTCTCTCCATTCTTAAAAAATTAATTTGTAAATTAAAAATACGGCTATAGTTGTAGTCCTTTGATCATGATGACATTCCATCGAGAATTTTTCAACACTGTTATAATATGAATAAATCCTTTCTCATTATAATTATGACGATTCATGATCATCAATTAATTAGCACTTTCATTTAAAGAAAACTTGGATTCAATGAATTGATGTAATTATTTTCTGAGTTCAAAGAAACCACCTCTTAAATTTGCATTTCTCTAAGAAAACATGAGATGTTCAAATTTTACTGCTCATTGTCAAGATGATTACATACTACTCCCCTCTGGCCCTTAATATAAAACATTTTGATTTATCTTAAATTTCACCTAACATGCACTTTTAATTGACAAAAAAAACTTTAAAACTATATTTTTCACATTCGTTATGTTCTCTTGATTGTTATGAAATATTTTTAAAGTTTTTTTTTATTAATTAAAAATGTGTATTATGTGAAACCTAGAACAAATCAAAATGTCTTATATTAAGAATTGGAGGGAGTATTTTACTCTTCTGCCTTTGTTTTGTAATTATAAGTTACATATTACTTTTAACACTATTTTCTTTTTTGGGTTTTTGAGACGGATAAAATACACAATAATAAAAAAAATATGTACTACTACATTTAAAGGAAGTAGCACACCATCCGACAGTGTCACATTCAATTTGCTTGAAGCAATAGCATTCAAGTGTCGTGCATGGTGCAGATCAATTCGATGACTCTTCCACCATCAGTAAACGTTGAATTTAGTAAAAAGCATTAAAGTGTCTGTCTTTGAATGGTTACTTTTTCTCAAGAAATTATTTCGTTGATACTTATTTACTCACGTGAAAATATAATAAAGTAAAAGAAGAGGTAACATATTTTTCATTTTTTTTTTAGAAAAAACTTATGTAACTCGTATCATACGGGATAACAAAATTTGTTTCGCTCCTTAAATTTATTCAAATCAGTAATAATTCGAGAATATACATACATATATATATATATATATATATATCCCATAATCCCTAGGGAGCTCACACCTTGAAATTATTTTTACTCTGAGAAATCTAAAAAATAATTTAAGAAAAAAATTTCACAGGGTTGATTCACTCACATTATTACTTATGAAACTTGTAACTCCCAAAATACTTAAGCTAGCTACACACCCTTGGCATCAACACCAAAAAGGACATATAACTCTTGTCTTAAAAATATATTTGGATTTTCAAACGTTATACTTGCGCTAATCGTTTTCATGTAGTTTACTGAAAGATAATGACTTACTTTTTTAATTAAAGACTTTTTGCTTGCAGTTTTAACGATTATACTGTCTTGTAATAGATTTTTAAAAAAAAAAAAAATCAAAGAAAAATCTAGTAGCAATAATGTAATCATCTATTACTGACTCATCGTTCAACATACGTTAGTCCACCCTTACTTTGGTCTATATATATATATATATATATATATATATATATATATATATATATATCCCTCTATTCATAATGCCAAAATTAATTTTTTGTTGGTTAACTGCTCACCTTGACAAACGGAAATCATAAGACCTATACAATTTTATTTAAAAACATATCAAAATATACAAAATTATACAAGAGCTGTATCAAGATCCACTAAATCTAGACATCGCAGAAGAGCTCATCTCTATTCCATGAAGGATTCTAAATCTAACTAAATTCCATATTAAGTCGACTAGTCGTCTCCAAATAAGTAATAATCATATATGTTATTGCAGGTTTTTATAAATTACGTACAATTACGTACAGAACAATTTGCTTTAGTTGACTTGACGTTACTATTTTTCAAGTGTGAAAATGTCGTACAAGTTTTGGTATCTTAGATACGTCCAAACCATAGTAAGTCTGACATTTTATTTTTATTAATTTTTTAGTTAATTTCAGATTTCTTGCAAGTTTCTACCAAAACCGGCTGAAAATGTAACAATCAACGCTGTCGCCCATATTCAATTATTAGTTATTATATGTTGACAAAAAAAAAAAAAAAAGAAGCAGAATTTTATTTCAGTTAGTACTTTTTTAGCCGGGTGATCGACGTTTGATACTATAAGTTGCTATTTAATATATTCAAATCAATATTTTATGTCCATATTGATTAAACTTTTATTTCTTTCCATTGTTTTTGGTAAAGTAGGAGGATAAAAGCTGCACAAAAATAAATAATTATTTTCCCGTCTTTAAAAAAAATAATTCACTTCGTTGCATTGTATAGGATTAATGAAGTGAATTATTCTCCAATACAAATAGATTAATTTTTACTGTATCATGTTGAACGGTGGAGAGTATACGATACACGAGATTCAATTACGGACACTTGGTCATCATAAGGTAAAAATTCACAAATAAAAAAAAAAATTCAATCTGAATTTTTAGATTTGTATTATTTTTAATACAAATTTTAAAAGTCAGCGTGTATTATGTTTTCGTGGCGGAATGAGTAGTTTTTTCTTTCTTTCTCTATTTACGCATCTCATTAGACATGGTGATTTATTTCTGCCAAATACTATTATTTTATAACTCAAATCCAACTCTCATTGTAATTTTTGAAACAAATCCCATATTTTCCTTAGAATCAAGCAGTGATGTTGGACACACTGTCCCAGTCGCAAAGTTCAGTTAAATTACAAGGCATACAAGGAGTTCTTGATTCTGTTTATGCATGAACCGTAATTATATTTTGCTGCCTCGATTTAATTTTAATACAAACTTCTTTGATATTTTATTAATACAAAAAATCAAGATCAATCAGAAAACTGTCTCCCAATGCGGCTTATGCACATGCAAGGTTACTGTAACGATCCTATTCGAGTCAGATCAAACTCCAGAAAATTGAGAGAGACAAAGTTCTGATTAAAAAGCCATTTTCATTAATATTCTTCTTCTTCGTTAAAATAAAAGTACAATCATATAAATAGACTCCAACTAGGGAGGTTATCACCCACTAATCCATGACTCTACAAATAACTACTTCTATATCTTATCTCCTAATTATAATTTCTAAACTACTATTGGATAATTAATTAAATAATAAAAGCTGCACTAAATAAATAAAAGATAGACTCATAGTATTCATTTTTTACGTTGGCGTATCATTACATATACACAGTAGGCTTTTAATGGAACTTCATCAACCACTAAAAAAAGGTCCTCCCATGTTAATGGAACTTCATTAGCTTATTGGCTTAAAAGTTTAAAGTGGGCTTTTATTTGTTATCTTTCCTCATGGTGACTAATTCACTCATCTTTGTCTTTTTCTTTTTTTTTTTAATATTTGCATAGTGTCCATCGGTCAGTAAGGGCGATTAATTCTCTCTCGTTGAGTTGTAAACATTTAGTAAAAGAATTCAAAATTATTCTATAATTATAGTGATAATAAACATCCAATTTTTTTATTACAAATTAATTTGATGCCATATGTTTCGTTAATAGTCGTGAAAAATGGTCTAAAAATAAATTAACGCTCGAGAAAGACAAGGGGATTAAGAAAAAAAAAAGAGAGATAGGATAAAAAAGTAAAATTTTTGACGAACCTTTTTTTTTTTACTTTTAGCATTACATTAAAAGCGACAAATTAACTTTATTTAGTTCCACTTTTTTCTTTGTGATATGACTTTATAAGAAGAAAATACAATCTCGCTATTTTTTTTTTTTCTCATTACCAAAATGTTTCATACATACAAGTGAACAAAAGTTCATACAACTCTCACACTCAAAAACTGAAACCAAAATCTTTATGATTACACCAATGCGATTTTATCCCATAAAGAGAAAGAATAAAGAAATTATAAGGTACTATATATATATATATAGATGGCCAGAAATAGCCATCATATTAAATGAAAATCTTACAGTCTTGGAAAATAAACTTATGTATTTACAGAGGTGCACGTAAATGAAACAGTGTTTTTTAATCTCATTTTTAAACACCAGCTTAATGAAAAACAGCGGATTATTACGTAAATAATGGAAACGGCAACAAATGTTTAGCAATGTTTACGTAGTACTCTCTCCATTCCATAAAAATAGTCCACATTGAGTTTTGAGTTTTGTACTGTTCTTAATACAAATTTGAAAACTCAATGTAGACTATTTTTTTTGGACGGAGGGTAGTAATATTCACTCATTGTTATGGACATGTAAAACTATGATACATTTTCACCAAAATAACAAGAAATTTACAAAGTAAAATTTGTTGTAACCATGTACGCAAATACTACCTAGTTAACCTTATATATGTCATCGATATTATCGAATGAGTTCTTTCAATTTTTTAATTTATCATGTTATAATTCAAATATAATTGACATGTGTGTGATGTATCATGTATTTACATAGTATTACCTCCGTTCTAAGAAAATAGTCCACATTGAGTTTTCAAATTTTGTACTAAAATAGTACAAAACTTAAAACTCAATGTGATCTATTTTTGTGGGATGGAGGGAGTAATTCACAAGATTCACTTGAATATTCCCTGTTTATTATCATTTCTGTACAACTGTAAAAGAATATAAAAAAAAGTTCTAGTATTAAATGCTTATTTAAAAACAAAAATTTGAAATATACAAAAAAGAAAAAAAAAAAAAACCAAAGAAAAGTCAAACAAAACTACCTCTATAAAACAGGATCCAAGTTCATCACCTTCCCCATTCAAAGCTTCTCCTGAGAAAAAACTCCCTACTGGTTCATTTCACCATTATCAGTTATTACTACCCAGAAATTTCTGATTGAATAGCATTTTTATTTTGTTTTTTCACTTCACTGAAATTCTGATTAAGTTTCACAAAAACCCATCACCATGGCTGCGTCCCTGAGTTGCTCAGCGGACCAACTGGCACCACTCTTCGGCCCAAACACCACCAACGCCGCCGCCGCCGCAGACTACATCTGCCGCCAGTTCTCCGCCGTTTCCGACAAGTTCGTCGACACGGGCTACGCTATCGACACCACTTACCTCCTTTTCTCCGCTTACCTTGTTTTCTCCATGCAATTGGGATTCGCAATGCTCTGCGCCGGTTCCGTACGCGCCAAAAACACTATGAACATTATGCTGACCAATGTCCTCGACGCCGCCGCCGGCGGCCTTTTTTATTACATGTTTGGCTTTGCCTTTGCCTTTGGTAGCCCTTCCAATGGATTCATCGGCCGCCATTTTTTCGGCCTTAAAGCTGTCCCTTCTTCGAGTTTTGATTACAGTAATTTCTTATACCAGTGGGCTTTCGCTATAGCCGCCGCCGGAATCACCAGTGGGTCCATCGCCGAACGGACCCAGTTCGTGGCCTATTTGATTTATTCGTCATTTTTGACCGGATTTGTTTACCCGGTTGTTTCCCATTGGTTCTGGTCCGGTGACGGGTGGGCCAGTGCTACAAACACAGACAACCTTTTATTCGGGTCCGGAGTCATCGATTTCGCCGGATCCGGCGTTGTTCATATGGTCGGAGGCATAGCCGGTCTTTGGGGAGCATTTATAGAAGGGCCAAGAATTGGCCGGTTTGATCGCTCGGGGCGATCCGTTGCTTTACGGGGCCACAGTGCTTCTTTAGTTGTTTTGGGTACGTTTTTGTTATGGTTCGGGTGGTACGGGTTTAACCCGGGTTCGTTTAATAAGATCCTGGTTACTTACCCGGATGCAAGTGGGAGCTATTACGGTCAATGGAGTGCCGTTGGCCGGACGGCGGTGACCACCACCCTTGCCGGCTGTACGGCGGCGTTGACCACGTTGTTTGGGAAGAGAATTTTGTCCGGGCATTGGAACGTGACGGATGTCTGCAACGGGCTTCTAGGCGGGTTCGCTGCCATCACCGCCGGGTGCTCCGTCGTGGAGCCGTGGGCGGCGGTGATATGCGGGTTTGTGGCGGCGTTGGTGTTGATCGGGTGCAATTATTTGGCCGAGAAGGTAAAGTACGACGACCCGTTGGAGGCGGCGCAGCTGCATGGCGGCTGTGGGGCCTGGGGAGTGATCTTCACCGCGTTGTTTGCTACGGAGAAGTACGTCAGTGAAGTTTACCCGGATAAACCGGGTCGTCCGTACGGGCTGTTCATGGGTGGTGGTGGAAGGCTTTTGGGTGCTCATGTGATCCAGATTCTAGTGATAATCGGGTGGGTAAGTGCTACCATGGGTCCATTATTCTATGGCCTTCATAAGCTGAATCTTCTTAGAATCTCAGCGGAGGATGAAATGGCGGGTATGGATCTGACCCGGCATGGTGGATTTGCATATGTATACCATGATGAAGAAGATTCACATAAGAATGGGATTCCAATGGGGAAAATTGGACCAGTTGGGTCAAGCTAAAAAAAGTTGGAATTATAATTATTTTTAATTTTCCCATTCCTATGTGTTTGGGTAATTTAATTTTATTTTTAGTTCCAAAGTTAGGGGGTTTTATTATAGTGTGAATAATTTTTTTTAAGGTAGAGGTTTTGGATTAATAATGTGTGGATGTGATCATGGGCATGAAGATAAAGTAAGCATGATGTTGTACTATATTGTTTTTGTGCTTCGTTCTTTTGACTATGAACACTATCAAATCATAACAATATCATCTCAATTATTCATTCGGAGACAAGTCTACAAGTTGGGAGAAATTTTTTGTTTCTATTTTCCTACAAGTTGTTCAAGACTTATGTTTGGTTCGTTTTTTATATGTGTTTTTAGGTGTTTTTTTATTGTAAATGTAAAAAAGGTGTACTGAAAAAATAAAAAAATAATATGCTGAAATGAGACAATTATTATTATATTATTATAAAAAACCGTTGGAAAAATGAAATCCTTTAAAAAAAAAAAGCGCAACTTTGTTTGGAGCCATTGTCATACAATTTTGAACATTTTCAACTAAAAAAAAAAATACATTGAAAAATAGTGTTTGAAACTTCAAGGAAGTTTCTTAACAAAAGAAATTAAGGAACATTTTATTGAGATGATGATTACAAACTTCAAAGGGGCTCAGAATGCTTTGCACGAGTCAACGGTCAGGCCTCACTCAATAAATGTAAAAAGGAATTGAATAGGTTGTGTAGCTTTATCAGCGCACGGCACCTAAACATTTAATTGAGGCAGCTGGTCAGGGATGACGGACCATTTCTTGAATCAACAAACGTTGTTAAAATTTGATACTAGTACCAAAAATAACGTCATTTTGTATATTAAGAATAATGTAACAGTAATTCATATTGACATTTGGAACATCTCAGCGGGCATGACTATTGATGTGTTATTTTTTGGGACGTGAGAAATATTATACATTACGACTCAATACGGACAATTTTTTGGAAGGGAAAAAATATTATAGTACGTCACAAAGAAAATGTAAAACGAGTGGTTGCGGAATCCAAACTATTTGACGACAATTAATCAGGGACTAGGGACATTAATCGGTAAATGTGAGAAGGGATCAAGCAGGATTTATTTATTTTTGGGTAGAGAAAACTCAGAAAAGAGTACATTAATGCATCTTGAAAAGGATACAGAAGTGCAGTAAAAATGAATCTAGATGGATTCAGAGAATTCAGAGTATCTCCCACTGTCACGGGGAAACGGACACTTACCATTTTTTTTTTAATGTGTGGACCAGAGAGAATCTTGTGATTCTAAAAAGATTGGGATATAAATAAATATATATATTAAAACAAAAATGTTTGAATGAGTTGGCTGGCTACCACATGAACCTGATCCAGGCAAAAAAAAATTTACAAGTATTTTTGCTGTGAAAAAAGAAAAAAGAGAAGTTTTATGATTAATATACTTAAACACTTTACTAAAGGTGAAAGTGCATTTTAACAAATGTGAAAAATCTTAATTTTAAAATCATTTCATCATATATATTAAAGGAAAGAAAGATAATCGACACGTGTCGCTAATTGATACCATCAAGCATTACTTTAAACTTATTATTATTTTAGCCCTTAAAATTTTATTTATGTGCTACTTTGCCTTCAATTTTATCGATTTTACATTTTCAAGGACGATTAATTGTGTCTAATCCCCAAAGTCCCCTTGCCTATAAATAAGCCATAGGCATCTAGACATAATTTACGTATTTTTTAATATATTTTTTTAATCCAAATATAACATTAGTTAGTGGTGACAATTTTTATTATACAACTTTTCAAAATTTTCGTTGTAATATTTTTGGCCAGATCTTACAAATATACATCTCATAAATAATATTAATACCTCTCATTTTGATCTAGAATTGATTAATCAAAAAAAATTTACGGCTTTAAGAAATATTAATAACTACATTATCTAATTAATTCTTTTGGAAGATAAATTTTCAACATTGACAAACCCGCGCAAACGAGACACATCTTACTATATTAGAAACAAAAACCACACTTAAGATAAAGCACCACCATTCATGTGGCATTTCCACATCATATTTTTAAAATAAATTTTTATTTCCACATCTCCTAAACTTAAAAGGCAAATGCAGTCCAAATTTATTTCCACCTCCTATTTTCGTCAAAACAAAAAAAAAAAAAAACCACGGGTTCATAAAAAACCCAAATCCCCATCCCCATCGCCACGACAATCGACTCCTTAATCAATCCCTTCTCCACAATTAAAAAAAAAGAAAATTCCTCATCAATCATCAACTGAGAATATATAGTGAAATATACCCCTTTCCTATTAGCATGTTCAATCTTTTTATTAGTGATGATCAACTACATCCTAATCAGATAAAATTTTAACTTCAAAAAATATTTTCTTTACCTCTCTATATAAACACAAAGAAAAAAAAAATTTCTCATTGATCTTACTTCGGCCGTTGTGGTGGTGCCATTACAGGTATTAAAATTTAAATGATTTTATTTTCACAGATAATTGGTTTGGCTTTTATTATTTTTTATTTTTTCCGTTCAAGAATAGTGTTATTACTATTATTTTTATGCGTCCATCCGTTACAGCTACAGGAGCCGTTGTCAGGTAATATGATGTGATTTCTTCTTTGGTTAGTTAGACTAAAATTTTTGTATGATTTTAGTTATGTTTGGATTGAATTGATTGATTGGGTTTTTGTTACAAAGTGTGGTTTTTTAAATTTATTTTTTATGTTTCATTTAATTAGAGTGGTTTTTTTTTTTTTTTAATTATGGAGTCTCAGGTTTTTTTCGTATATGTCCAGTTATGAAGTGTGTTTTTTCTTTGTTTAATTGCTTTTGATTTTGTTTCATACTCCCAGTTGACCAATTATGATTATTATTATTATTATTATTATTATTTTATTTGCAAATGAAGCACGTTTTTTTTTTGTGTTCGGGGTTTCAAGAATATACTTTTTTGGATTTAGTTTTTGGACTTTTTTTAGTTCCTCATCATATAAATAGTTCAAGTCGCTTCTTTTAACTAATTTATGGGGAAGCCTTTTATGAATTTGAGGTGGAGAGGGAAGGAATGATGTTTCTACGTTTATTTGTGTTTTTATACATCATTTTTACCTACAGAAAAAAAAATTTCTCAAATTTTAATGGGCTATCTTTTACTCTTTTTTTTAATTTGCCATGGTGAGGTGAGTTCTTTTTTGCTATATCTTGAAACCTATGCAAATTTACATTATTTTCATTCTCATATTTGTGATCAACAAGTTTCAACAATTAACCAGTATCAAAATCATATTTTTGATATTTTACTACCTATAAACTTTTGGAAGAAATAGTTCCAACAATTAAGCATATACCCTTCGGAGGAAGCTAACTACAAGGCTATTATAAATCTCCAAAACTAAGTATTGATTTGACACAACCAATGGAGAACATCAATAAATTATCTTACTAATATTTAAACTTATTAGGATGCTTTTATATTTTTTCTAGCATTTACTTCAAGACATATATTTGATCAAGTTTATTTATATTTAAGAAGTAGCATTTATAAAACATTTTTAAAATCTTCAAACATTTCTAAAACGTACCGGGTCAAATACAATTTATTTTTATGCCAAATACAAACATCACACTTATAAAACATTTCTAAAATTCTTCAAATATTTCTAAAATATATCGGGTCAAATACAAAATATTTTATTTTCTAGATACAAATATTTCTAAGATCTACAAATATATTGGGCCAGGATCGCGCATTGTGCGACCAGACATCACTAGTACTAGTATACATAATGAGAAGCAAAAGTAAATGGATTTAGTTGGCAAGTGTTTTTCCGTAATCTGCAGTGTTCGGCTATCTCAAAAAAAAATGACATGACCTATTTCTAGTAGAATGACAGTTTACGACTGTAATTATAAGTTTTTTTATTTAGGCGCAAGAATATAATTTTTTTAAAAAATAACTGGCACTATTAGAAAAAAACACGAAAAACAAATTAATAGTCGTATTTGATGCGTTAACAAACTGATACAACAAGAAATCAAATGACGCTTTTATGTCACGGTTTAATAAAAACTTACCCCATATTGTATCAAACCGGGGGAAAAGAATTTTTTAATTACTACTCCTTCTTATTAAAAATCATCTTGATTTGTTGTAAATTTTATTTATTGAGTTTTTTTCAATTAAAAATAAAATTTTAAAAAATATATTTTTACATTTTTGTGTTCTCACAAATATATTAAAGATTTTATTTTTAATTAGAAAAACATGATAAATAAAATTTATGAGAAATTAAAATGTCTTATATTAAAGACCGGAGGAAATAATATACAGTATCAAAAGATACATCCTAGTACACAACGACATTTTTATTCATTATCAAGATAATAAAAAAAATTTTCCAGACCTTCTTTATCCTTCATTATCTGGTTTGCTCTAATCTTAAGTCATGGTATTTAATTACGGCTATGGGTTCTGGAAAAAAAAAAAAAAACAGAAACAAATCCAATTCATTGAACGATTGAACATTGCTCTGTGCAACTGGATCCAGCGCCCTACACTATTTCATCATCGTTAATAATGTGTAATGAATTTAAATAATAAATTTGTAAAGTTATATACATAATTCGCAATTTCGCAATACTACGTAAGCAAGATTAAGTTTGCGTCGCATCGGTGTTTTATGTGTAGGACGGTACTCGGTACCTCATTGGTGAAGACCAGAAAATAAATTGTACTTCGTCTCGTCTTTATTATGAGATATTTTAATTTATCTTAAATTTAATTTAGTATGTTACTTTAATTGAAGGTAGTATCGAATTTTGGGACGAAGGTAGTGTTTTTTTTTTTCTGTTTGTTTCTTTTTTTTTTCACTGGTTTTTTTCAAAATAATAGTATAATAATAATTGTCTCATCCCAATATACATTTTTATATTTTCAATACACTTTTTTACATTCATAACACAAAAAACATCTAAAACCACATACAAGAAAAACGAAACAAACATACCTTTTATAACAACGTAAAACCTAACATTTGCATCGTCTCTTTTGATAATAGTGATGTTAAGTCACTTTAAATGCGACTCGAACATGCTAGCAAGTGATACCCTCTTAAAAAAAAAATTGAATTAAATGAATCATGTTTGTGAGCAAACTTCGTTAACACCAATAAATTAATATAACAGTAATCAATTATATCCATGAAGATCGATCAATCTCCAAGTCAGTCTTGATTCCCTAAAACAAACCCAAGTGATCACCTTTATGGCTTTATTATAATTTTGAAAAAGTAGTTCAACGTTTAAGGTTGTTCGACTTTAATATTCAATACTTACTTTGCTTTTTTATATGTCTTTCTAGAGAAATCATCAAAACTAAGAAAATATTAATTAATATAGTTAAAATACAAAAATATTCTTATTTATTGTCTATGCAATCCATCATAAACTAATAAAAATCATTACAAATACTGTTTCATTTCCAATGCAAGGGTAATATTGGTAAAAAGTGGTCAAATATACCTCGATATGTGAAAACGACATATATTTAAAAAAATTCATCAAATCCAAAAACGACAGATATTTCAAAATTGAGGGAGCAATCTTTATTTGGACCAATCGAGTGTGACTACAATGGTCAAAAAGTGGTATGCTTAATATGCAAACCACCATGAAGGGTGTGTATAGGTAAAACCAAAGACTTTCATGACTGCTTATGTTTTTTATCTGTTGACTAAGACTAAAGTAATGACAATAAAAAGAAAGCTCCGATGTTACATTAAAAAAAAAGCTGCTTTTACGGATGAAATTTAACACATGATGGAAGATATTTTAATTGCTGAAAGCGAAGAAGCATCTATCCAACCACTAACCTGCGACAATTCTTTTTGAATTATACAGTTGAAAACAACGTTTTGAACACTCAAAATTAAATCATTTTCTTTTTGAAATTATAGATTCCTGAAAAGATCTGAACCCTCAACCTGTTGGTACCTAGTTAAGTTCTAATTGTGCTAAATAGTTTATTTATTTAACAAATTACATTCACTTTTGGTTTTGTAATAAAAATAATTTGTTTAATAAAAGTTGCAGAAATTATCACTCATTCGGTCTACAAATGATTATTATGTTTTTCATATCAAGAAAAATACAAAAATTGAACCAGTAATTTCTGGACGAATTAAGTAATAACAACATACTCTCTTCGTGAAAAATAAATAGGAATGAATTTTTTTTTTTTTCATATTTGCAGGGTGTTCACCGTCGGCAACAGTAACTAATCCGCCTCGCTGAATTGTAGGCACCTCAATTGGTGAGACAGCTGGCCAAAGTATTTAACATTGCTCCATACCCATGGTGAAGTTCGAATTTTCAACCTATGGTTAAGGGTGGAGGAATACGTTCCACTCCACTACAACTACTTTGGTTATAGGAATGAAAATTTAAAGTGTGCCATATTCATACCAAAAAATGAAATTAAAGTGTTGGGCCTAATAGCAAGTTCTTTAACTATTGGACCTTTTGTAATACTGTGAACTTGGGCTGAATGATCATTCACTTGTATTTATTTAGTTATAGTTAAACAATCCATCTAATTACTCACGGTGGACACATTGCAATATGGAAAAAAAGACTAATATTATTTATTTAATTCTAATTTGTGTGTTATAATTAGAAATAAAGAAAAACAATAGGGGATATTCGTCAAACCTCCCAAAACCATTCAATTTTTAAGCAGTTCTGTTTATTTATTAGCTATAATAATTCATTTTAGCAATTTTATTTTGATACACAGTTAACAATCTCAATATAGACAAAATGTGTCACCAATACATCCAAATATATTGTTACATTTGTTTGCATGATAGAAATGTTTCTATCTTAAATGTTATAATCATGTAACTTTGTAGAACAATGTTAAACAAATTGATGAAAGTGAATAAGTTTTTCATTATGAAAAATTTCACGAGAATGGCAATAACTGAGAAGAAGAGTAATCGCTGTTGTTGACTTGATGAGGTTTAATACACGGAGCTATGAATTACTTTAGAGTTCAAATAATTCTACGCGAAAAAAAAAACAAATTATAAGATCCACAAACTTCATTGAATTTGTCAAATTTAAAGCATTCGGCGGCTGCTCATCAAACATTTACATATAAAAACTCAAACAATAACAATATTTTGAGAAGTTGGTAAGTAACAGCCACTGCACAAACTTCATAAACTTCATTGCTTCCTTCGTCCTGCAAAATATTTTAAACTAACTTTTTAAAACAAAAAGAGGATTACATTTTTGTTAAATATGAGAGGATTACAATTTTACATGTTACTGAGTATTTTAGATTTTAAAACTTAAAAGCACGATTAATAATTTTTGCAAAGTTTAGAGGCGTATGTGTAATGTTTAGAAAACGCATAACCACGAATTGATAAGTTGGAGAAACCATGTAAGCCACTCACCAAAATATTCAAAATATTCATCCTTCTCGGTTCTTCACCGAGAAAAATTGTGATCCAAAAAAAATTCATATATATTTGAAAGGAAAAAAAAACTTAAATTGGCAAAAAATGTACTAAAAAGTGCTCATATGAAAGCGAAATTTGAAAACTTATAACAGGGATTTGTGGCTGCCAAAGACACTTATCAAATGGAGAGAGTTCTTGGGACCTTTACGAGTTCCGGTTCACTTTTTCCTCAATCTTTCATCACTTCAAACGCTTGCAAACGCCAAACTATTTATTCTCAGGTAATCTACTCGATACTAGCTTGTAGTTTAATGAAAACCCAGAAAAATTTTAAACAATCTTGGTTAATTTGGCTTGATTTAGTCATTATGATCCTCCATACAGGTGCTGCCCTGGAAGCATCATCAATTTCTAAGACCAATTGAAAAGACTGGATCTTTGGTAGCTCTTTGTTGCGGGAATAAATTTTCTTGCTATAAAATTGAAGCCCAGAGGAGAATTTTGTGTCTCCATTCAGCGTTGAAAGCCAATGAAGTATTCAAATTAAAGGAATGTAGCAAGATATGGAATCAGAGTTCAGTTACTACTATTAGCAGAAGTTTTCCCTTTTCTTTCTGTCGGATGGTGGTTGGAGTTGTGTTGGCTGTGACATTTGGTGCTGCTGTTAGCAATACTCCTGCTTGTAAGTGATTTTTAGCTCTAATTTCAATTCTACTAAAATGTCTTTTCCTTAGTTTGCTTAGAGTAGTTTTTGAAATAGAGTAAGCTGAACTTAACATATTGGCACTTCTTTGGTACTTAAGAATTGTCTTTGGTTTTCCTTCTGATCCAGTTCTTGAGCCAATGTTTCTTTTTAAGACGTTGGTAATGTGTTAGAAGTGTGTTAAAAGTCTTCAATTTTGTAGATAAGAGTGTAACTTTTCTGTATTAGTGAATGTACTCTACTGGTAGTGATTGATCACACTTGTTTTGTAGGGGCACTAACTGAAGAAAATCTGCTTTTCCTGGAAGCGTGGAGAACAATTGATAGGGCTTATGTTGACAAAACTTTCAATGGCCAGAGTTGGTTTAGATACAGAGAAAATGCATTGCGAAATGAGCCGATGACTTCACGTGCAGAGACATGTATGATTCTTGGTCTCGTTAGATTTGTTCTGATAAGTAGTTGTTCCCACATAGCACATGAATGAGAGGCACAACTATCGTTACTTTGAACCTGTTAGCCAGCAGCATTCACTTGCTATGATAGCTTGCTAAAATTGGAAATAGAATGATTCTAAAATTTAACAAAGCAGTAAATTCCAGCCTTGTCCTTGAACTCATGTACCATGCTCGATTCGTATTTTCTGATCATGAGCAATTAATTGTTAGCCAAGATAGGAAAAAAGAGTGAGAACTGGGTAGAGCTTGAATTGATGGTTGAAACTTTTTGATCTCTACACTGCATGGTGTACAAATTTATGTATTCTTTACTGTAGATACGGCAATAAGGAAGATGGTTGCGACTTTAGATGATCCTTTCACCCGGTTTCTTGAACCTGAAAGGTTCAAGAGCCTGAGGGTAAGAACTATTTCCTATTGGTTACACATATGAATAGTTTCCTTGTTCTTTTCGAATGCTTAAAATGGATTGGCTTTAGCCTTGTTCCCTGGAAACTAAAGTGCCTTATAATGTTTTTTTGAAGGCAGTCAGGAACGCAAAACGCTTTAACAGGTGTAGGGTTATCAATTGGCTACCCTACTGGGAAGGATGGATCATCTACTGGACTGGTGGTCATTTCAGCTGCTCTGGGTGGTCCTGCTGATAGAGCTGGTATTTCTCCTGGTGATGTGATTCTGGCAATTGATGACCAAAGTACGGAAAACATGACAATTTATGACGCTGCTGATCGCTTACAGTGAGTTTTCTTTATTGCTTTGATAGTTTGCTGACTTAAGATTATTGTTCAGAGGAACAATCTTCAGTCATTTTCACACTACGTGAGGGAGGGGAAATTGAAGATATAATGATGTTCTCTCTGTTTAGACTAAGCTCAATGGTAACTGAATCCCTTTGCATCCCTTTGGGCTAAAAGGGGTATGAAATTACATCCCAAATGAGGAGAAATGGAAGAAAGGAAATAGAAAACAACAACAATCCTGTGCTTTTCTTTGTATGCATTGGCCACTTCAATATATATGGAAGTCTTAATTTAAGTTGAATGCAGGGGAGCTGATGGAAGCAGAGTTGAATTAACTGTTCAGCAGGGTGTGGAAACAAGGAACCTACAGTTGATGTATGTTAATCTTGTTCTCTTTATTTGCATTCCCAGATACACACATTTTTTTGTTTTAGTTTATGATTTCAGACTAAGTATTGAGGAAAAAAAAAAGGCTTATAATCTGCAATATTTCTCCAAATAGGTTAATGCATATTTGTTCTACCTTTGCACGTGCACTGCTGTTGCTATAGTCATCTTGTTCTTAAGTTTTAGTATTAACTTGAGGAATTTAATGCTTTCCAGACGCGAAAGAATTTCATTAAACCCTGTGAAGTCAAGAATTTGCAAGGCTCCTGATTCAGGAGAGGAGGCTCCTCGAGTTGGGTATATAAAGTTAACAGCATTCAATCGAAATGCATCTGGTATATCAGCTATTCTTGATCACATTAAAATCCCATTATTCTTTATTTTGTTTCATTTTTGTTCAATTTTCTTCAAAAAGGTCCAAATGTTGATTTCTTCTTTTATGTTCATTGTTCATTATGTGATAAGGATTTACTGTCTGAGCTTTGGCTGTATATGCCCTAATTGTTTTTTGTGTCCTTGAAACCCCTCACGTTGAGTACTCATCTCTGTCATGTTGAGTTGGGAATCAGCGATCTTCCCGTTTTACATTACTTTTTACTACTTATAATTCTTTTCTCCTATGCGTTTTCATAGAGTGGTGCGAAGCACTTCCTTTAAGTTGAAGCCTAGAAAGCAAATGTCATTCTGAAATTGGTTTTGTTTCAAGTTTCTGTGTTTGAATGCAGTTTATTTCAAAATTTCGTATATATACTTGGTCTTTGTGCGGTTATTGTACCAAACAAATGAAATGCATGCTTATGAATGTCTGCTATTGGCCGTCGCACACCACTTCGTTCAATTTAATTTTAATCTTGTCTTATAAATGTGAGTGTAGGTGCTGTTAAGCAAGCGGTTGAAAGTTTGAGGAAAGACAATGTCAATGCCTTCATACTAGATCTTCGAGACAACAGGTCACATATCTTAATCAGTGCGTCATTATTTTTCCCCTAGTTCGGTCTCTGATAAACTATCACTGATGCAGCGGTGGCCTATTCCCAGAAGGAATTGAAATTGCAAAAATCTGGTGGGTCCCCTCCTAATTCAGCAGCCTTTTTTAGTATGCATAAAGTTTGCTTTTCTTTTGGTAGCATTGGTTGCCAAATTTAGTGGTGATCCATGGCATTCTCAACTGCAGTTATCTAGGCTGTCTTATTGTCCTCTTGAAAGTCAGGAAACCAAAAATGCTACAAACGGATAACATAACTTCCCGTTTGTCCTACTGAAATTTCGTTTCTCTCCTTTTTTATTTTATTTCCTTGTTCACCCGCTTTTGATTACTTGTCTGAGCTTCTGGTAGCAAACCTACTAAGACAATAGATTTGTTCTTTCTAGCAATGGCTGTACTATACTAGTATTGGCGATGTATCTTTTGATTAAAAATAATGTCTTTAAACTCATTGTCTCCTTCTTTTCCTTGTGACCAACCAGGTTGGACAAGGGCGTAATTGTTTATATCTGCGATAGTCGTGGTGTTAGAGATATATATGATACAGATGGAAGCAATGCTGTGGCTACTTCTGAGCCTTTAGTAGTTCTGGTGAGTAGCTCCTTCTCTGATGTTTAAATACTATCAAAACCTCGGGTTGTGAAAGTTAGTTTGCAATATATGTCAACTACTATCCTTTGTGAGCAAGTACACGTGCTCTAAGTTTCTGTTTATGACCTACAACTGCTATAACGTTTCTGTTTGTCAGTTAAATATTTCAGATTACTCTTTATGAAATTGTGACGTAGTACATTTTTTGGGTTACAGGAGAAATTTTGGAGTGTCCAATCTGTTGCAATTTTTAAGAAATCAAATTTATTTCTGCAATCGCATAGGTGGACTTAAGATGTATGATGGTTAGTGATCAAGATTTGCTTGGCAACTTAGTGCATTGTAGCATTGTATCTGATGTCTGATATCTGAAATTATTAAGGTCAATAACTTGGATGTAAAAGGTTCATGTTAATTATTTCTTCTTTCATGTGAATTGGTTCTCCTTTTCTTGCTGTCAATGTCCTGCTAGAATTAACAATTCATTTTCCAAATCTGGTAAGAAACTACAGTTTACAGGTATCTGATTATTTCTCCTTGATTTCCTTTTAATCCTGTTAGGTGAATAAAGGAACTGCTAGTGCAAGTGAAATCTTGGCCGGTGCTTTGAAAGATAATAAGCGAGCTGTGCTTTATGGAGAACCAACTTTTGGAAAAGGGTGACCACATACTTCATATCACATATTGATGGTCATTTGCAAATTTTGAAGTTTTTCTTTAGCGCTGACTAGAACTATTTTGGATCTAATGAGATATCGATGGTAATTCTACAGTAAGATCCAGTCTGTTTTCGAGTTATCAGATGGCTCTGGTTTGGCGGTAACAGTTGCTCGTTATGAGACTCCAGCTCACACAGATATAGATAAGGTATACTTCAAAATCTCTCCACTCTCCAGGAAAAGAGACCACCAAGGCTGACATTGACTAGTACTATTTCTTCAATATCAGAGGTTGTTCTGATCATTGTTTATACCTAGTTTTTGGTTGCCATTGACTCTTCCAATTTCGTCAAAATCATAGGTTGGCATAATTCCTGACCATCGACTTCCAGCATCATTTCCAAAAGACGATGAGAGTTTTTGTGGGTGTCTTCAAGACCCTGCCTCTGCTTGCTATCTGAACAGAGTTGAGCTCTTTTCAAGATGATTCTTTCCAACGGTTATCTCTTGCAAGCTGCTGTAGGTTGAGGCTGAAAGCATACGATTTTGTTTCTAATTGATTCAAGCTAAATGATCCTACTTTTTCCTCGATTATTGGGCTCAAGGAGTCTGCAAACATATACATGTTATAGTGCATACTGCATGACTGCTAGGCTACGTTGTCCTCAGGGTGGCATCCCGGGGTCTCAACAGAATGATTGTAGAGTAGAGTGAATGGTCAAAAGGTTCCTACGAAATATGGATTCATTGTCCCCAACAACATTGGTCCTATCTCGGACAACTAGGCTAGCACCTTTGGATTTTTGTAGGTGTTGAAACTTTCCTGTTTTATGTACAGCACGAAAAATGAAAATTCAATTATTCTTTCTTGAGTAATGTGATGAAGGTTTAAAGCTCCACAGGTATGATGAATATGCAATTCCAAAATTTCCACTGAACATCAACTGATTTACTGATGTCGTTGAAAACAGTTAACTGTCTTCTCTTCTTTCTTATATTGCACTTAAATGTTCCTGATTTAGCTACAAACTTTTGGCATTCAAGAGTAGGCTACTCATTTCTGAGCTGATAATTTAGAATTATGGTTTACTTGTGCATGAAAACGCCAAGTTGTTTGTCAGAAAGGGATGAACCTTTGGTTCCTTTTGGGATCAATTCGTTAAAATTTACGAATTGAAAACATTTACGAACATTTCTATAACAGTATTGTAAATGTGTATGATAATCAGCCGAATGATGTACTAAAGCATCTTAGTCCATGAACCTAAGAATGGGAAAGCTGCAATCAGCAATCTCAATAACAATGGTGTCTCACTTCTCCTTACTTCTTCACTAATCCTACTCTTCTCTGAAGATGATGACTTCTCTGATCTGCCACCAACCCTTTGGCCTGATTTAGTTGGAGATCTAAACTGAAACTCATTCTCACTATCTAGCTTATCCCATCCACCAAAACTTGAATCATCATCAGATTGTACCCATGATTTGTACCCCATTTTTCGTTTCTTATTCTCTTGATTACCTAATCTTTCATCTTCCCAAAACGTATTCTCAGTTCTTGAACTTCTTCTAGTCTTCTTCTTCTTCGTCTTCCGCTGACTCCTCTGTTTTCCCCTGCTTTCCCACATCTTTTGGAAAGCAAATGCAAATGTTGACTGTAAAATTGCAAGTGTTAAAGCCAACAAAAACGATTTTGGCCCATTTGTTATTACCAAGGAAACCAGGATGAATGGAAGCGCCCAACCATAACTTCCGAATACCTGCACTAATTCGGAAGACAAATTTTAGCCCTGTTTCCTGGTTTGGGATTACAGACTAAATATCAAACTGAGAAGAAAAGGAGATAAGAAAAGGGATACCTTGAAAATCCAGATACTATCAATGTATTCTTGAAGAACATCATCCCATTGTTCATCTTCAGTTTCTTTGCCGCCGTCATCGTAGTCATCATCATCGATGATTTGGGTTGTAAATGACTCTGTATTGGAGTTTTCCCAATCCCACCTGCGAGCTCTGCAAAGAAGAAGTGATTGAAGAAGATAACCACTGTTGCATAGTACTCCGGTGGTGGTGGTGAGGCTGAGCTGGAGGAGTACTGGTGGTGGTGGATGTATATTTCCCGGTGGTGGTTTACGGAGGAGGAAATGGTGGTGACGGTGGTTAATGGGCAGAATGAGAAGAGTAGAGGTTGGGAGATAGTGTTTCAGTTGTGGCATTGCTGGAGGAAAAAGAAACCACAAGAGTGAGTGGCCTTCATTTGGCCTTCAATTTTTTCCCCTTTCCTCAGAGGAAGTAAATGTTGTGCAAAACATTCCCACATTTTTTTATACAAACTGTGGCTTATATTTATAGTTTGAATCCCTCAACTTGGGACAAATTACATATCCGTCTGAATTTGTCATTCGTTATCTTGGAAACATTTCGTTGAATAGTTTTTGATTTCTTGCATTTGGAGTCGATGGGAGTCTCACGGATTCGAGGGTTTTGAGTCAATGCGGAGTCTTGAGGGTTTTGCGCCGATGAGAGTTGTGTGTTTTAATTTAGGGGCGTATAAATTAAATTAAAAAAAAAAAGCGAATTCTGTATCAACTAAAGTGTCACGACTTTTTTTTTCACAAGAAAAAGGAAAAAAAATAAAATAAATCAACACATTTATGTCTTAACAAAAATTTGTCACTCACAATGTACTAAAGTTGCAAACAAGTGTGTGAAAATGCTCACCATGTGCATAAAATTATGATAAAAATTCATTCATAATGTAGTTATTAAATACTATTTTATTTCGTCGTCTTAATCATAGGGCAGTCGAACTTATAACTAAATTCATTCAGAATTTTCTTGCTTTCTTGTCAAGGAGATAAATTCTGGGTTGATAAGGTAGATACTTTTGGCAATCCATTTCCAATGTAAAGAGACCTTAGATAGACAGAATGGTTAATGTTTTTTTTTTTTTTTACTCCTTCTATCCCAAAATTATTGTCGAGTTTGAGATTTTACTTGTAATACAATTTGAATTAGAAACGAAAACCTAAACTGGATAATAATTATGGGAGAGAGGGAGTACAGTATATGCTCCCGTAGAATGCACGCTCCTGAGTTTATTTCAAGCCACTTTCTCTGTTTCCTGTCTTTTGCTGGAACTTTCAGGTTTATTGGATTTTAGATGAATCTAATATAACGAATAATGATATTTTCAAGCCATCCCTCCACGGCTCCACCACCCGTAATAATAATGAACTAAAGTAACACGATGGAATTTCCATTTTTGAGGTTGGTCAAGTTATGCAAAAGTACAATTCTTTCCCATTGATATTATCACACGCCACTTTAACTTTTTTTATTTGGAAGAAATTCTTTTGCCCACATCGTACACTTCTTCTCCCTCCAGCTTCATCATGACATATTACGATATCCTTTTTAAAAATCCATTCTCTTGTTTGTTTGTCTCTACACACTATCTTACCATCATCATTTTCAAAAGGTACGTATGTATTTGATCTTCTGAATCTGTTTACTTTGGTTAATATTAATGCTTAATTTACTCATCCAGTCCAGCTATTGCTTTTCTTTATTTAAATTTATGTACTTTTCTTTTTATTTTTTTGTGTTGATCATTCTTTTTTTTTTAATATACGAATTGACCAATTTATATATAACTTTAATTGTATACCCCAATTTCTCTCTGTGGCTTGTTTTTTTAATGGATAGTTTCAATGTGAATAAAGATATGATTTTTACTTTTTTTTTTATACACCTCATGGTTTTCTTGATAGATTATGATGTATAATGATAGAAAATGTAGAGAGAGGTCAAAGCCAATGGATTTACTAATCTGATTATCGGCGTTCGCTGTATATTTGGTGGGCGTCAAACCAATAAATAAAAATATATTAACTCCATACCTTTATCGTAATATGAAAAAGTAAGGTTGTCTACTCAAGAGATTGTGGATTCGTCTCCTTCAAACAAGTAAAAAAATGGAGATTTTGGAGATGATGCTAATATATAAATTAAAATGCAAAAACAAAAGAATTGAATAGATCACTGGTGATTATGGTGTACTTCGGACGAATTATCTTTTTTTTTTTTTTTTTTTTAGGTTCTTCTAATTATGTTTTGGGCAATAAGAATAGTCGAAATGAGTGACAGTACATTTAATCACATATTATTTTAAAATCAAAATAACAAAACTCTTGATTTTGATAACAATAGTTATAATCATGATGCTAAACTCAATTGTGTATTGATAAGAATTATATCAATTACTTTAATATGCTGACAAGATTTTCTGAATTAATATGATACATAACACTCCATTAAGATGTTTTGACTAAAAGATAAAAATTTGTTCAACGGAATGCTTTAGAAATAAAATATTAGTATGGTTCATTCGTAGTAAAAGTTCAGAAGTAATAATCTTTAAAATCTATAATAACTTGGTAGCATAATTTCGTAAATTTTTACAAATAAATTTAGTAAACTCACAATTGAAGTGTTAACGAACTGAAAATAAAAAAAGAAATGTAATGATATATAGTTTTATACAACATCTTTTTGGTAATATTGTTTTATTAGCTTTTCCTGAAAAATAGTACATTTTTTTTTGTAAGAGAAAATATCATTATAATAACTTAGATTTCTTCACAAGGTTATTATTTCTTTAAAGAAAGGAAAATAAAGAAATAAAGAAAAGGAAAAAAATAGGGTGTTTGATTGCCCAATTCATATAGATCCAAACTATATCATATAGAAATACAATAAAGCATATATGATTTTATAAGCAAATCTTATGAACATAAGAAATAGTAAACCGACCATTTCATATGTTTTCTACATTTTCCAAAAAAAAAAAGTAATTACAATAAAAGTAATAGTCAATAACGTAGGACTACTGATATGGTAATAAAGAAAATTGGTGAACACAAAATAATTACTTTTAAGAAAAACAAGGATAGACCTAAAAATTCTTAAAGATAAATAATTAAAAATAATTGTGTATAAAGCGAGTATGATAATGATATATGATCCACATAAAATGATCCACATTTTGATTTTTTACCTACTTCCATTGGCATTTTTTTTGTGTTTTTGTTCCTAATCTACTATAATGTGTTTTTGTTATTTTTATCTTTTATATATGTTTGTATAACTTGTTCACATGTTCTATATATTTTTTAATACATAACTACATTGAGTCTTGAGTTTGATTTTGAGCAACCGTGCAAGTCGTATGACAATTACAATTTTTTTTTCACCAAAATATGTTTTCAATTGAAGGAGCTGGACATAAATATATTTTCCTCCTAGAGAGTATGGGCAAATCTAGTCATGTTGGATTTGCCAAATCCGAAATTAAAAGCCGTCGGATTTGGCAAATCCAAATCTATTTATTTTTTTGAAAAATAAAACTCCGATGATGAGCAGATTTGAATTTGTCAAATCCAATTTTAGTACAAAATGAGTAGATTCAAATTTGGCAAATCTGACAGAATCAAATTTTTTCACCTATAGCAGTGAAAGATATATATATATATATATATATATATATATATTTGTAAAATGGTAAAGATATTAATTGCACAAAAACTTGTGGTCCTTTACATTTACATTCCTTCTCTATACTCTATTCCGCAATACTTCATTCACCTATACAATTCCTATTGTAGCTAAGTACCTTGTATCTTTCTGTTTAAGCTTTTTAAAGCTTGTTTGAATTCTCCAGACCAACTCTTTCTTGATAATCTCGATTCTGTCTTCAACTCTCTTGCATTGCTGCATTAAACGTCTTGCATTTCGTTCCATCCAAGTGTGATACACACAAGCCATCACCATAGCACTACACAAGTTCCTTTTCGTTTTTAGAAACCGACATCCATATTTGATTCTCCCATACACTTGTTTCATTAGAATCCCACGCATTTTCAACCCTGCCCAGTTCATCAGCTCCTTTAGTATTTTCACAACATAGATACACTTAAAAAACAAGTGGTCACAGCTTTCTAATACATCTTCCCCACACAAAACACATCCATTCTGTTGCACTAGGATCTGCATTCTACTCAGCCTTTCGATTGTCATTAGCCTGTCTTGCCATGCTATCCATCCTATGAAACTATGTTTTGGTACACCTGTTATTCCATACCATTCCAGCAGCCTCAAATTTCTGTCCTTTATTCCTCCTTTGTTCATACCCACCTTTAATATTATATGCTTTCTGTCCCAGAGTCCCGGTTCCAGCTTCAACTCCCTCTTTCAACTTTTGTAATCAGTACCAGTCTCCTTCAGTGCCAGCTACAATCAGCTGGTGGCTGGTATTCCCATAGCTCGTTACCTTTTAGGTAGTAGGCATGAATCCATTATATTTGACCTACAGGATATTTTCTCAGCAGCAATGTCCCAAATATGTTTTGCCACCGCTGCCTGATTCCATATTGCTGGGTTCCTGACGTTAAGCCCTCCTTTTTTCCTTGATCTGCATATGTTCTCCCACGCTACCAAAGCCATCTTACTACCAGTTTTAGTCTTCCCCCAAAGAAATTCTCCGTAAAAGATATATTTTTGTCCACATTTATTTTAGGGAAATTTTTTAAGAGAAGCACCCTGACAATTACATGGCATTATAAAACAAACTTAAAATAAAAAAAAAAAAATCTATAGAAGAAAATAGGTATCTTTCTTTGTAAATGATAAAGTATTTATTTTGCTAAACGATAGAAGACCTACAATACAAAGACATTGCATGTTGGGAGCTCAAACTAGAGTAAATTTCCAGGACGTTATGATATTGAAAATAAGTAAACCCGTAGTAGAAACACATTATTGCCGATATTTCTTATCACGTAATATAATACTTCTTTTGTTCCAAAAACATAATTTACATTGAGTTTTATTTTTTGGAATAGAGAAAATATTTTAATATTTTAAGTTTTGCATGTTTTTATTATAACAGAAAACAAAGATAGATTTCTTTAGTTGCTAGTCCCTTAACGTGAGTAACAAAATGTTAATTCTTATAAAGTAAATAGTGAATATGTGGCTAGAAACAATAATGGTATTGGAAAACAAGAAAAACAGAACAACTTATGGCTGCCTGTATATTAGGAAAAGCTGTTTATGCTGTAATTCTTTAAGAAAGAGTGCTGGCGCTATTTTTAAGATTTTGAAGTACACTTTATCAAAATTATGAATTTTCTGTACTAAGCAGTTTTCCTATTATGTACCATTAAATAAAATATTTTGACATCTCAATTTTTCAAGAAAATATTCAACGCACCTGTTGTACCATGCTATCATATGCAACACATAATTTGAGCCTAGTTAGATGGGATTGGACATGGTTGATCCCCTCATATTTTTAACAATTATAGTCCTTATTACACTGTTTCTCTCTCCTTTAAATAACTTCTTATGTTTTACAATTTTAGACCTATCTTTCCTCCAAAATAGGTTTTTTTTTTTCTTAATTTCTTAAACAACGAATGAACAAACATCCAACACTTTAAAACATATATATCTTTTACACCGTAAATAATTAGAAAATGAGTTATGTATAAAATTTATATTACTTGACAAGATATATATAACATGATACATATTAAATGTTTTTAATTAAGTTATAAACTATTAAACTTTTATGAGCAGAAAAAAAACTCATATATTTGTTTAGATGGATATGTAATTTAAAATGGATAGATACGTTCCTGATTTTCGATGGATATGCGACACAACGATAGACATCGAGTTATAATGAATTTTTTCTGTGTTTAAATAAAATTGTGATAATTGTTAGCAAAACGGAAAGATTACCAACACCAAAATGATGGATAAATAGCAAAAAAATGATAAATAATGTTTATTAATTTAATATTTATTACTCTTAAATAGATATACAACACAAAAACATTGAATAACTAATATAAAAATAATTGATAAGCATTACAAAAACAACATATATGAAAAACTAAAACGATAGATAATGTTACAATTAATTAAAATTTTATTTTACTTTTTTATACAGATATGAACTTTAAAGGGGATGAACAAAATGAATAGATAAACAAAAAAAAAAACAATGTTAATTCATTTCAAATTTATTTTTCTTTTATGGATACAACAGAAAAACGATGGATATGCTAAACCAAAATGATAGATTATTTTAATTGATGAAAATTTTATTTATTTTTTAAAGATAGATGTACTATTTAGAAGAGATGGATATGATGTTGATTTTAGATGGGTATTCAGTATTAAAATGATAGATATCATGTTATTATGAATTTTGTGTTAATTATAGATAGAGTTATAGTAGAAAAAAGAATAGACATATAATTGAAAAAAAGATGGATCAACATCACAAAAATAATGGATAGGTAGTACCAAAATAGTATGTACCATATAACTTTTGAATAATGGTTATAATTTATACATTTTGAAAGAGAGAGAAGATAGTGACAAGGACTACAATATCCATACTTTATTGCATATCTATAAAAAATTAGTACTGTACCCATCCAGTACCACCCTAATTCCTCCAAAAAAAAAAAAAAAAAAAGAGAGAGTAAAATATCTATCCCTTTGAAACTACATATCCAGTTGAACATACAATTTATCATTTCTGCCCAGAAAATTTTAATCAATTTTTTAAAGTTTAATCAATATGGATCTTGTTAGATTAGATATCACATGTAATAAGAAAAAATTATATAACATATTTTCTAATATTTCTCGGATTTGGAAATAAGTTCGTTTGAATTTGAATATTTTCATTCATTGTTTACATAAAACTACAAGAAAATTCTCTATTTTGATGAAGAGAGAAAATTGTGATAGGGGCTAAAAGTGCAAAAAAAAAAGAAAAAAAAAAGAGATTGTTTAGAGGAGAGAGGAAAGGTGGAATGAAGACCATAAGAGCAAAAACTTGGAAGGGATCCTTGATAGATCCCCGGCTCCTCCTTGAAATTTACCCTAATTTGTTGGGAAGTCCATAATTTTAGAAGAACTTAATTAAAATTAACGGGGCAAAAAAATTAATGATTAATTATTTCGCTATAATTGGTTTATATTAGATTAAAAATAGGATACATTAAGTGTATAAAATATAATGTTCCCAATGTTTAAGGCTATCTTCTGCCTGCAATGAACTAAACAATTTAGAAAGCCTGCCTGAAATCCAATAATGGGTGAGGATTTTGATTAGGTTTTCTTTTTTCTATTTTTTTTGGTTGCTATTGGGTGTTTACTTCAAGGTTTATGAGTAAATTTTTATGAGTGCTCGATAGAGACCAACTGGTTAATTTTCGGGGGAAAAAAGATTTGAAATGAGTGGAGATCATTTTCTTAATCTATTATTTTCTTTCTTTCTTTTATTATTATTTTTTTTTGGGTGAATAGCTTACATGAAAGTTAATGATACCCATCCTAGTCTAATCATTTAGTAATGGATAAATATAACCAATATCCATCACAATAAATATGTATATGATCTCTCTGATGCTATAATAGAAATTCTTCCTTTATTTTAAGGATTCTAAGTAAATTTAGGGGTCTGAACGGGAATGGACATTTTGGAGGGATCATTGTTTTGTTTGGTACAAGAGAGGGATTATGCCTTAAAATGTTTCAGGTGTACAAGAAAGGGATTATGCCTTCCATGCAAGAAAAATAATAGTAATTCGTTCGTCCTATTTTAAAATTCACCTTGTAGAGGGAATATCTATGTACCATCTTATTGGTGAGTATAGTATTTAATTATTTTAATATTGGGAGTTACATACCCAGCTTTAACTGGAATCAAACATGATGTTGTTTGGAATCAAATTCCATGATGTTATTGTTTTAGGTCATTCCCTTGCTTTTCTAATCCGCTTCTTTTGTTACTCTGATACCCTGAAACTTGCTTTCAAAAGGAAATATTTCTGAATTTTAGTTTGGGACTTTGATTCAGATGGCTGATCCGGCAATTGGAGCTGTTACTGAGATGCTCTTGAACATGGTGGTTTCAATTGCTGCTGAAAAGATAAGTCTGGTACGGGGGATGAAAAAAGAACTCAAAAAGCTTCAGGATCAACTGGAGATGGTTCGGGCTTTGTTAGATCAAGCTCACCAGCAGCCAATAAGCAACAAACCTATTCAACTCTGGCTGGAGAAGCTCCAGTCAGTCAGCCTTGATGCTCAGATTGTGTTGGAGGAGTTTGGTTACGAAGTTCTTCGCCAAAAGATTGAAGGCCGAAAGAGGAGGGACAAACTGCGCTTCTTTGTTTCATGCTCCACAAATCCTCTTTCATTTCGACTCAAAATGGCCCAAAAGATCAAATATGTTCTGCAACGCATTGAAGATGTTTATGCGGAAGGAGGTAAAATTTCACTTTTGCCTGTCGAGTTGCGTAACTCACCTCTTGACTTGAATGAAATGAAATTAAGGTCAACCTCTCCTTATGTTGACGAATCAAGGATTGTGGGGAGAGAGGAAGATGTCAAGGAGTTGATTGACGTTTTGATCAACACAGAGTATGAGAAAAACTTGCTAGTTGTTACCATACTTGGAATGGGAGGTCAAGGGAAGACCACCCTGGCTCAACTCATCTACAACAGTGAAAAAATCAAGACTTCTTATGCTGAAAGAATTTGGCTTTGTGTTTCAGAGGATTTCGATACCAGGAGATTGCTAGATGAAATGTTCCAATCCGTCACTAAAGCTAGCGCGCATGTGACAACTAAAGAAGCTTTGGTAGAAAAGCTAAAAGAGCAACTGAAGGGCAAAAAATATTTGCTCGTGCTAGATGATGTTTGGAATCGTAGTGGAGCCAAATGGGATGACATGAGGAATTGTCTGCTTCAAATTGGTGATGTTAAGGGGAGCAAGATCTTGGTCACTACACGTGAGGAAGAGGTTGCCTCAGCAGTGGGAACATCAAAGTATCATAGACTTGGTGTGCTTTCTAAAGATAAGAGCTGGGAATTATTTGAGAGATATGCATTCGCAGAAGGAGGTGCAACAAAGACACAACAATTGGTGGATATTGGAGGAAGGATACTAGAAAAATGTGGAGGGTTGCCATTAGCTATCAAGACCATAGCATCTTTGCTGTCGTCCAAGAAATCCGAATCAGAGTGGTTAATGATCGAGCGCAGTGGGACATGGAGTACCTACAATGAAGGAGACGGAGTTCTTGCCAGTATCAAGCTCAGTTATGACCATTTACCTTCATTATCTGTCAAACAATGTTTTGCATATTGTGCGATTTTTGAGAAAGATGTTATCTTGAAAAAAGATCAACTCATACAACTTTGGATGGCGCAGGGGCTACTTAGTCTTTCTAATCTTCAAACAGGTTTGCGGATGGAGGAAATTGGTAGTATCTATTTTGATTTTCTGTTGAGGAGTTCTTTGTTCCAAGATGCTCAAATGGATGTTCGCAATGGTGTCACATCTTGCAAAATGCACGACATCGTGCATGATTTTGCATCAGAAGTGTCAAAGAATCATTGTTGTCGTGTGAAAGATTGGAGGTCCATCCACGAAAATATTGAAGCGATTCATGTATCGATCGATTCCTGGGAAAAGGAGATGTGGGAACGATTGATTCCTTTACTACCTTCGAATTTGCGAACACTGCAGCTCACGGGCAAATGTGACTTGCCGGAAGATTTATTCAAGAAATGTACATGTCTCACTGTGCTGATTATTCGGTTTCAGAATCCGGATGCCATAAAGATGGAAAACACATATGGCAAGCTAAAACACTTGAGATATCTTAGCATCCAAGATACAAATCTCCCAAAAACAAGTCTCCCAAAGTCCTTCACAAGATTGTACTATTTGCAGACACTGAGGGCTTACAACTTGACAATTGTACCAGATGGATTTGAGAATCTAAACAATTTGAGGCATATTGACGTGGTCGAGCTCAGTCCGTTGCCCAAATTAGGCCAACTGAAAAATCTTCAAACAATTTCCCTGGTTGAATGGAAAGAATATCAGATAGAAGAGTTGGAACATTTGGACAGCCTCACAGGAGAGGTAAAATTGTACTCTCTTCAACGCCTGAAGAGCTATGAATCTGCAGTCAAGTCCAATTTGTCCAGAAAGCCAGGTATTCATACTTTGAAGTTTTTTTGGTTGGATGCTAGTGGGAAAAAAGCAGAGGCAGACAATGATAATGCTAACATTGATGTGACAATGGAAGGGTTGAAACCTCATCCGAATTTAAAACGCTTGATCATCAAAGATTTCCCTATCCTGAAGTTCCCGTCTTGGATGACCAGAGAAATTGATATGACATCATCTATTCGTAATCTCGCGATTCTCAAGTTGAAGAACTTGGATAAATGCGATATGCTCCCTTCGCTAGGACAGCTGCCTCGGCTGGAACATCTAAAGATAGAGAGATTGGCAATGGTTAAGCGAATCGGAAAAGAATTCTACATTTGGTCAACCGAGAAAAGTAGCAGTGGTAGCTGCCCTGAGCCAAAAATGGTCTCTATATTTCCAGCGCTGAAGGTGCTTGAGTTGCTAGTTATGGAGAATCTGGTGGAATGGGAAGATGCATTTGGAATAATCCCAACTACATCATCTTCGCCGACAGCTCAAGTTAGAGCATTTCCAAGTCTGGAGAAGCTGGTTCTTTCATACTTACCTAAGTTAGGTGTTTTGCCAAGCTTGGGGAGCATGCGAAGTTTGGTGGAATTGAATATACTCTATTTAGAACAATGTGAAAGCCTTCCTGCACTCGGAGACTTGCCTCGCCTCGAAAATCTCCAGATAAACGGATTACCGAAGGCGAAGTTCATGAGAGAAGAGGTCTATAGTTGGTCATCTCAGAAAAGCAACATTGGTAACTGGCCAGAAACAGTCTGTGTGTTTCCAGCGCTGAGGGCATTCATGATGTGGGATATGGATAATCTGGAAGAGTGGTCAATTGGAATTATTCCAGCATCATCATCATCATCTGTTAAACTAAGAGTATTTCCCTGTCTAGAGGAGATGACATTGTGGGCAGTCCCCAAGTTTCGCGGTTTCTTCCAAACAAATTTGGCAATGCTAAGCGATGATGTCAGTAACAGGAGGCCTGGATTCCTAAAAGAGTTAGGAGGTTGTGATGATAGGGAAAAGCATTCATATTCATCCGGTGTCGCTAACGCCAGCGATTCATACATCTACCAGCAACTTCTCTGTTTCGAATCGCTACAAGAACTCAGGATGTGGGAATGTGATGAGTCAAGTGCATCAGTTTGCAGTTGCATCCCAAGTTCGGCGCCGCTTAAATCTTTGGATATCCTGTGCCACCCCAATTCATGGCCTAAAGATTTGCATCATTTGACCAACTTGAAAGAATTGTGTTTGGGATATGACGGTGATTCTGCGAGAATAGACCGAGATTATGTGCTACCTTGGCCATATCCTACCCTCTTCTCCACGAGGCTACTCTTTCCGTCACTCTCAGGTCTCTTACATTGCGTAGATTCCCAAGAATCAAGTCTCTACCGCATCAACTGCAATATTTGGATTCTTTGACGGAATTACACATCGATGAGTGGAAAGCATTAAGGATACTTCCAGAGTGGTTGGGTAATATAAAAGGTCTCCAAAAACTGGTTATTTGGAATTGTCCTAAACTCAAACAGTTACCCTCGGCCGAAGCACTTCAACGCCTTACCCACTTGACCATTAAGTATTGCGACAGGTTGAAAAAGAGGTGCAGCAGGGAAGAAAATGGCTCGGAGTGGCACAAGATTTCCCATATTCCCAACTTGGAGATTGAATGATATTTTTGCAATGGTATTTCGATGACGTACATAGATGAGCTATTCTTTTGAGTTGGTTTTTGATAAAATTATGGTTGATTTTCTATTTTTCTCTGTTTCAGCCTCGAAACCAAACATCATAGAGGGATTTTTTGAAAAGCTATGGCTCAGTTTTATCATTTCACATACTAAGTTTGAGGTGAGATTTTTCAGAATTTTTTTTTAAGGAAATATGATGCTTGATTTGTAATGAACTGAACTGAACAAAGCTGTTCTGGGAACTCCAGATTTCTTTCTGATCACGATTTCAAACCTGGCAAACCTCGATTACTTTGTGCGAAAAGTTTCTTTCTTTCGAATAATTCTAGTCTTTGCTGCCCGTTCTTGATTCGAATAATTGACACTCTAATTCATTCATTGAGTGTGTTATATTTAGCTAATGTAGCTAATGTCACTCTGCATCTATGGATATATATATTTTTTTTAAGTCAGAAATACGGAAATGGTGGATCGAAGTTGCGTTTGGGAACTGGAATCATAGAGAAAAAGGGTTCCATTTGTTGACACTTTGCTGATCTGTCAGAATTCTGCCATGAACACAGTTTAGCTCTTTTCAAGATGAGGAATCATTAAACAGCTTGTTAATCTTTAGGTGTCTAATTGGTTCAGGCTGAGATGTTAAATGTTCTATTTATTAGATGTAATTTTACAATCAATTACTACATACATGATCACTTGTTATTTTGCATGTTCTATCTTCAAAGACCAATTAATTGAGTTCTTTGTAAATTTTTAACTTCATATTCACAATGTCGCTGCAAGGTTTGGATATTCACTTTTAATACAATCTGAACTAAAATTGATAACCTAAATTGGACAAGTATTTCATTTCAAGACGGAAGGAGTATGTACTATTAAACTCTGTATCAAGGCCACGTATCATATGATAGACCTTACATTTTGGTTATTTTGGTATTTCCCTCATTTTCTAGTGTCTTTTCATTAATTGGAGCGGCTGTTCTTCGTACTTCTAACGGCAATTAATGATAGATAAATTCAAATTAGGAAATTGAGCTAATATTGAGCTAATGATTCAATTTCATTGCTGGGACCTTTCTCAATGCACTTAGACGATTGAGTTTTCAAATTTTTCCCAACAAAAATTAAATCAATGAGAATATTGAAGCAGCCCTACGATGGTTTTTTGGGGTGTCAACCTAAGAAATAATCAAATCAACCTATGATGAAAAAAAAAAGAAAAGAAATTATAAGTTGTGAAAATTATAAATGAAAACTCTAGCCCAATAAACCAATATTGAGATGCATCACTGAACCTTTTTATTTTTATTTATTTATTTATTTTTGGTCTGCCCCGTTTCTCGCTCTCCCTCAAAACAAAATTACAAAAACACTTCTACACATCTTCTAATGGTAAGAGGACGGCAAATAATTTTTTTTCAATCACCTTTTACTTCAATTTTATTTTTATTCTTTTATTTTTGGGTGAACAACTTTACAAATGGCTAACACCTCAAAATACACATGGAGGAACCTCTAGAGTCATTCTCTAGTAACAATGCAATATAGTGTAAGGGGACATCAAAAACATATAACCCTCTGTTACTCACTAATGTGTCTTAGCAAGAGCATCGGCGCACATATCATTATCGCTACATGTATGAACAAAACATACCTTCTAATTAGTGTGCAAAAGGGTGTAAATCCCTCTTAACTCTGGTCCAGAGGAATTACATTTTGATCCTTCATGCTATGGATAATATCAATTTCTATACGTAAGGATTCTTCTTCTTTTTTTTTTTTTAATCCTCAAGCAAAAAAAAAAAAAAAACTATTGAGGCATTTTCGATTATTTGTGTTTTTTTTTTGGTATTATTCTTTCAATATATACGGTATAGTGGTGGTTTCCATTGTGATGTTTCTCAGTATATAGGGATGCATATAGGGATGCTTGACATGCGTGGTTCAAATATCAAAACACATTTAATCAACGTAGATTTGATTATATAATTTTGGAACTTTTATCAACTGATTAGTATTTTTTTTGGTCGGACTAAATGGATGATATGTGGTAAATTAACTATTCTATAAGTTAGATTTATCTAAATTTATCCATAGTAAACACAATAGTGGTGTTATATATATATATTGGTTTAACTTAATTTTGTATCATTTTATTTCCTTCTTCCGTTTTCGGCTGTTCTGATTTTTAATCATTACTATAAGATAACAAAATTATTTAAGAATTTATTGAACGTGTTATATATATTAGCTCTTCTGGGTAAAAAAAAAAAAATCATTCCATTCCAGGTAAATTATTTTTGTGAAGCAGGGAAACATAATTTTTTTTTGTTTTGTTTTTTCAAATGTTAATGGTTTACTCCACTTTGAAGATGTTAATCTTCCGACTTCCGAGGTGTGGCTTTTCTATATGCTTTACTCCATATGCTAATTAAATCCGATTAAATAATTTGATTATTACATTTCATTTGTTGCTTTAATAATTTTGTTGGTTTAATTTTGCTGGTACTTAAGTGTGTTTGCTCCTTGCTGATGAGATCAGGGATATATACTACCAAGTCTCAAAAACTTGTTGGCAAAGTCAGGAGATTTCTTCTTCATTGACAGATATGAAGAAAGATTCAAAGAGTTCACCAACAAGGTAAACATGTACTGATTACTGATCCCAACTCTTTACTGCTCAGTTTAAAAGATATTAATATTCACCTTGTTCCAAAATGATAGATTTTTATTGCTGATTAATTAAAATGATATAAATATTATATTCACTATGTTCCAAAGTAATTGTGCTGCTTAGATTTTCATTTTTATATGACAATTATTTTAGGAAAAAAAGAGTATATAATTTGAGTGTTTGGCCTAAATAGAAAAAAGTTTGAAGTTACACTAGAGCTTCTGCTTTTAGATACAACGAACTGATCAACTATAGAGTTTGATGAATACGAGTCAAGTTCCTCTTATATGCAGCATGCTTCCTTCTGTGCAGCCAATGTACAATCATGTGGGTTTTTTTTTTTTTTTTTTTCTCTTCTATATATAACTATGTTTAAAAAATAAAAGGTAAAATATCTCATAATTTTGACATGATATTGGATAATAGCAGCAATACAAAAGTAGAACTAATCAATCGAATAAATGAATAAATTATCGCATCTTGTTGAACTCTTCTTCTTCTTCTTCTACTTGACCAAAACAGAAAGATGGGGGAGGCAGCGAAAGGCAGAATGCATGCGACAAATCACAAATCCATTGTTAAATTCTGCTTCTTGTATCAAATGTTGCTTACCCCTTATTCAGTTACGCTTCTTGCATCAAATGTTGCTTGTAGTGTAATTGGGAGATTTGGTGTTTTTGGCTTAAAGACCAGAAAACTAGGGCCATTGGATTTTTTGTTTTTGAGACAAAGAGATTAACCCTTGTGATAGTAAGTATAGACTACAGAGGCACGAGGGTTCGTGGACGGTTTTGTCATGGCACAAAAGTAGTCATCTCTTCTGGTTTTCAAGGATATGGAACTTTGAAGGGATTACATAACTCAAACCATCATGCAAAAATGTAAATCTTAAGCTATCATTAAAATATGCCTAATGACTCTTGATTAAATTGAATCGAGTCCTAAAACCCTTGGTTGTGAATGTGTATTAACCATAACAATAATCAATCAATAAATTGATTAGTAACTGATTCTTTACTGTATTGAAGATATTTGGAATCTATACCTCTTCCACTGGAATACACATTTGCCATTGATATTATCACATACCACTTTAACTTTTTCGTTTTTTTTTTTTTTTGGGAAGAAATTCTTTTAAAAATCACATCCACTTTAACTTTGTTGTTAGGGAAGGAATTCTTTGCCCCATATTACACTTCTTCTCCTCCAGCTTCATCATGACATGTTTGTTACGATATCCTTTTAAAAATCCATCCTCTTGTTTGTCTCTACACTTTCTTACCACCGCAAAAGAAAGAAATCAAATAGGGGGAAAAGAAAACGCAAATTATTAAAATCTTTCAATTCTTTTTTTCTCTTGAAAGAGGAACACCAAAAAAAAAAAAAAAGGGAAAAAAATCTGTTCAAGTTCTTCATTTTCAGAAGGTACGTATCTATTTTACCTTCTGATTATGTTTAATTTGGTTAATACTATTACTTAGTTAACTCATCCTCTACTAGCTTTTGCTTTTCTTTATTTATATTTATTTATATACTTTTCTTTCTTTCTTTGTGTTGATCATTCATAGTTTTTTATTCAATGAAGATAAGAGCTGGGAATTATTTGAAAAGTATGCATTTGCAGAAGGAGGTGCAAAAAAAACACAACAACTGGTGGAAATTGGGAGAAGGATATTGGAAAAATGCGGAGGCATGCCATTAGCTATTAAGACAATAGCATCCTTGTTGGCCTCCAAAAAATCAGAACCAGAATGGTCAAAGGTTGAGCGCAGCGGAACATGGCATGCATATAATAAATGAGACAAGGTTTTCGCTAGTATCAAGCTTAGTTATGACCATTTACCTTCATTATCTCTCAAACAATGTTTTGCATACACTACAACAAAAATGGATTATTAATACCTTTATAGTGGGACACTTTTTTTAAAATGTGTCTCATTATATGTGTATTAGGACATTTGCTAAAAAATGTTTTATTAAAAATGAAAAATTGTATGCATATTATGAAACACTATCATAAGTGTACTATGTGGGGTTGCTTGTGAACTATTACCATACTTAATGGAAGGTGTGGAACCTCATCCGAATGTAATAAATTTGACAAATCATGGTTTTCCTATTCGGAAGTTTCCATCCTGGATGACGGAGCTATCATCATCACTTCATCATCTGGTGACACTCGGTTGAAGCAGCATGCTAGCAAGAAGAGCCAAGGATAAAGCATATTTTGGCATGAATTAAAAATAGAAAACCTGGGTGTCATGATTTGGTAATCATGATATACATTTGGCACTTCCCGTTCTCCATAAATTCAGAAGAGACAATTGGACGTCATGACTTGTATTGTTCACGAGGCAATGATAAATTGACTTTCCAAGGGGGCGCACGGTTATCGACGCCTGTCCAGAAAGCTTGTCGACTTACCTGGTAAGAAAGAATCCTCATGAATGTGCCTGGTTGAGAGGCCAAATCGACCTCGATGAAATCGGCGTGAATAGGTACGGTCTTGAATCCGTGGTGTTTGCACGGTCTTGAACCTTTCGGGTTGAAGGTTGTTGCTATTTTCGACAAAAGAACTCAAGTAATAGATTAGTAGTAACTTGAATCATATAGTTGTTTAATGTTTTAAACTATCTTTCTCATGAGTGTCAAGATGAGAATAGGCTAGTGTCAAAGTCTCAGTTATTAAAAGACAATTGTACATCAAGACAAGGTTGGCTTGTAAACTAGTGATCTATGCACAACAACCGTTCATGCAAATTCGATAAGAAAGCCTCATTGTGAATTGTAATAAGGTTTTAGTGATTAATGATTCAATAAACTTGTGAGAAATACACCACATATCCATAGGTATCGTAACTTGTATGATCTATACACTCAACCGAGAGTTCAATTGTTCAACTAATCATAATGATAACAAGGATTGTCACAAAGACACAAGAGCCGAATTATTGTAGGCTAAATATTGAGATACCGTATAGCATACACATAAGCATGGTATGTGTAATTAATAAGCTAATAAGCAACTTGGTCTCCCAGATGCCTCAAAGAAAACTAATTAATAATATGATCAACCTGATTTGTTAAAGGAAATCAAAGGCGGCGGCCGAAGAAAGAAGACTGAATTGGTTTTGTTGCCTTTTCTCATCGAGTTAGGGTTTCATATATATAGTTATTACCGATAAAAGAATCACCGTAAATACAGTAAATACAAGACATTTACTAAACCCTAATACAATATGGTAATATTGTTAATATTTCTGTATTTGTAGAATAAAAAGGGTGTGCTTTTTATTCATTGTGATAACTACTCGTTAATTTGGTATTAGATTAAGGTGATGGGGTGCATTAAATCATCAAGCATTGACCTAGATTAAGGTTAATGTAATCGGGGATGCCGAAAGAACGTGATGATGACAATAATAATGCACCGTTGTGAACATGATGATGCCAATAATAATGCCAATAATAATGCAATTATGCATGCAAATCCACAACCAACGAGCAAACATACTTTTAGCAGAAAAAACACACAAGGAGTGATGATGCCAAAATTGATATTGAAAAACCTGGTGATCATGATTGCACCAAACTCGTGTGCATTGGACAACCAGTAATGATGTGCACTAGGAGACATGCGCCAATCAACAAGCTTGTGACTTGGTTGCAACGATGGGTTATCGATGGATACATCTATCCATCTTTGACTTGGCCAAAGACATTTGGCACCGTTAGCTTCTTTTCGCAAAAAAAAAATAAAAAAAAAAAATCGTTAAGCGGAAACCCTAAGGGTCCCACTGGGCGTACCACTTGATGAATCATGAATTTGTACCGACATTTTCAGTTGATTGAACCGGCGGCCATGGCAATATCAAAACCCTAAAATGGGCCTCAGAGTCTCCTGAGGTTAGACACTCCGATCTTACAGACACTCCGATACTTAAGTCAGTAAGAGTAATTGTAATAGGGGTATGAATTGCGGTGTGTAGAATGTACCTCTAATGTGAGGGGTTGATCCTATTTATAGAGTTAGGGTTACCTGTTTGTGAAACCCTTTTCTTGATAGGAAAGTAATTAGTAACCGCCCTAGAAACTTTCAGGGACTGTTGAACAGCTTGTCGAAATTGGGCCGGCCTAGTCGTGGGCCGTATCAATTTGGACTCATCAAAAGCCTTCCAAAACTTGGAGACTTGCCTCATCTTGAAAGTCTAGAGATAAGCAAATTACCAAACGTGAAGCGCATCGGAGAAAAATTTTATGGTGGTGGGTCATACAAAAAAAAGCAGCAGCCGTAGTTGTGATGGGCCAGGGATAGTTTCTCTCTTTCCAGCGTTGAAGACGCTTGGCTTGCATGGGATGGATAATCTGGTGGAGTGGTCCATTGGAATAGATCTAGAAGCAGCAGCAACATCAGTTCAAGTCATTGTATTTCCCAGGCTAGAGGAAATTTTAATGTTAAACACGCCTAATTTGAGTGTTTTCCCAAATATGAAAATGTCAAGTGAGGCTTACAGGAATAAGGCGTTGGGATCCATAGAAGAAGAGGAAGGAGGAATAGATGATGAGAAGGAAAATTTGCAGCTTCATCCCGAATACGGCGCCACTTGAATTTCTGGATATCCGATGCAACCATAGTTCATGGCCCAAGGATTTGCATCACCTAACCAACCTTGGAGAATTAATTTTGAAAAATGATGATGAGGTTCGTGTGGGAATAGAAGCAAGAGTACGAGTACACTTGGTCGTATCCTTCCAATCTTAGGCATCTCACATTGAATGGATTGACAAAAGTCAAGTCCCTGCCTCCTCAACTCCAATTTTTTATCTTCTTTTGACGGAATTACATATTTTTAGGTTTCTTGCATTGGAGAGTCTTCCAGAGAGGTTAGATAATATAGAATGTCTCCAGAGGCTGACATTTCGGAGATGTCCTAACCTCAAGGAGTTACCCTCCCCAAAAGTACTTCAACGCTTACACGCTTGGAGATTAATGATTGTGGTGAGTTGTCAAAGAGGTGCAGTAACAGGGTAGGAGCACCATATGGCTCAGAGTGGCACAAGATTTCCCATATTCCCAACTTGGAGATTGAATGACTGACATTCCCAAGATTTTCTGGTATGCGACCGCTACAGCATCAATTTCCTTATCATCAAATTCATTTACATAGTACATATTTTTCCTTTTGTTTTAATTTCGATGTATGTTTCTTTGTGACTTACTTTTGCAGCTAGAGGTTGTCATATCAACAGTATATATACATGTGCCAAGCCGCTCTCTCTTTCTATCTCTCCCGGACATGGGCTCTGTGCTCCCTATTTGCAAGTATGGATTCTGTTCTACGAAATAAATTACTTTTTAAGTTCTTTTGGGTTTTGTAATGTATGATTTTAACACTAACAGAATTGAATTCATGATTGGTTTCTTTCTCTGTTGAAGGTTGACTGAGTAATATCACAAAGTGAGGTAAGATTTTCAGTGCCTGCCTCCCACAACGTAATTACATATGATAATGTGATAAAGTTTTATGGTAATAAAGTTTTATTAATAAAAAGATTAAAAAAAAAAAAGAGCGCGTGCTGCTGATAAATGTGATAATGTGATACTAATAGAATAAGCATGCTCGTTTATCTCTCATCAGGTTTGAAACTGATAAATTTATGAAGATAGATTTCATAAGGCAACCATTATGGAGGAGTACTATGCATTCTCTTCGCCCTTTCATAATTTTCTCTCTGCTCCCTTTCTTGACTTTGAATTATCCTTTCATTTCCACGCATGGTTTGTGATACGTATCAACCTGAAGCCCCTTCTGCATCAACAAATTGTGATCCAGAAATACGGCGCTGGTGTATATGTTCTAGTTCATTAGCGGAGACACGAACGGCCACATCAATGAATTGATCATGAATGATGAGATGGACTTCGTAGGTCGCCCTTTTTGGAGCTGATTCAACTAAAACAATGGGATGATGTGCACCAAAAAAGTACTTTCCGCCGCATGGATTGAGGTTTTGGCTGCTTTTGGATTGATTCAGAGCAAGTAAGAGGTAAAGTCATTCACTCATTCTGCAAGTAAGTAAACTTTTTTTAAAAAAATCGATTTTGTCGGATGCATAAATTTCCATTGCAATTGGCACACTATAGTGTATAAACAATGGGCATCCCCTGAACAGAATTCGTATAAAGCTAATTAATAATGACGGAAGGATTCATTTTCTACAGTTTCATGTTTCTTCTTTGGGTTAATTTCAATCCTCTGTCTTATATTTATTTATTATCTTAGGTGCGGTTAAGCTGGCATTTGGAAGTTTGAGGAGAGACAATGTCAATGTGTTCATTTTAGATCTACGAGACAACAAGTTAACTCCTTTTAACTTCCATCAGTCTGGCTCCTTTCCTTCTGTTCAGTAAGCTTACTCCAACAATGGAGGTATTTTTTTATTTTTTTTTTGCTGACATTGGCTACCATTCTGTTTTCTTCAATATCAGAGGCGGGCTAATGATCCTTTTTCCGCAACCTACTTCAGGACCCTTGCTATCTGACCATAGTTGAGCTCTTCTTAAGATGACGAACCCTTCAACAGCGGTTATATACATATTGTACAAGCTTCTGCAAATTAGCATATGATTTTAGGTATCTAATTGGTTTACAGCTAAATGATCCTACATCATTTTCCTCAGTATTGAAACTCAAGAAGCCTCCTCAGATGATTTAGTAAAACCAATAACCGCACTGGTCAGTGTATGTTGCATGCTCTACCTTCAGAAATAAAATCAATTGATTTCTCTGCAATTTTGAGTTCTTAAGGATGATACTAGAGCTGTCAGTGCTACAAATTGCATTTCAGGAATTGGAAAAATTGGGCGAATAAAGAGTTCAAACTATTCATAAAGAGCAACAAGCTTTTCGAAGCCACTGCGTATGCTACTTCAGTTCGTATTTCTCTTGACTTCTTAGAAAACTCGAATTGGGAGAGCTACTTACCTCTTTCATGGTGAGTTATTTAATTATGTACCTCAATCTTTTTTTGTCCTGTTGCACATCTACATTTGCCATATTCATTGGGTTAAGATTCAGTTGAACACTTGGTTCGTTTCAGCATTTGTATCTGAATGAGTTGATCTGAAACTCATTAGGCTCCATTTGTGTAACCTAAATCCTTTTTTAATGAGAAATGGAATAGCAAATTTTGAACTGACATTGACAACTACAACTGTTTCTTCAAAATCAGAGGCTTTGCCGAATCCTTCTTTCACACCAACTTCCGAACCCTGTTGTCTGAAACAGAGTTGAGCCCATTGGAAGATGATTAATCTTTCACCGGCTTGTTATATTTCTTTTGGAAGCTACTGCAAAGCATCCGATTTCAGGTTTCTAATGGGCTCAACCTAATTTGATCCTACGTCATTTTCCTCATTATTAAAATCTCAAGAACCTTACAAACGTATACTACTTATTCTAATGAAAATCAAGAACAATATTGATCAGTGGTTATGTAAATATTCTATTTCGGAAGAGCCAATTGAGTTCTGATATTTTAAATTTCATATCAGGCATTGTGCTTCTTTCTTTGCAACTTGGGCACAAACAAAATTTCAAATTTCATATCAGAACTGCTCCAACAAGAGAGACAGTACTAAACTTTTTTTTTTTTTTTGGTTGTAAAAGTACTAAACTTGTTAATCATCAACACAGAATATGAAAATGACTTGCCAGTTGTTAGCATCCATGGAATGGGAGGCCAAGGGAAGACCACCCTCACTCAACTCACTTATAACAATAACAAGGTTATGAGTTATTTTGATACAACAATTTGGGTATGTGTTTCAGATGATTTCAATGCCAGAAGAATGTTAGATGAAATGTACCAATGCCTCGAGAAAAACCACTGCACAAGCTACAACTGAAGTAGCTTTGGTAGAAAAGTTGAAAGAGAAAGTCAATGACAAAAGATATTTGCTTGTATTGGATGATGTTTGGAATCGTGATAAGGCCAAATGGGATGACATGAAGGGAGCAAGATTTTGGCCACTACAAGCCATGAAGAGGTTGCTTCTGCAATGGGGACATCCAAGTGTCATAAACTTGGAATACTTTCAAGAGATCAGAGTTGGGAATTATTTGAGAAATATGCATTTGCAGAAGGAGGTCCAACAAAGACTCAACAATTTGTGGATATTGGTAAAAGAATTTTAGAGAAGTGTGGAGGTCTGCCGTTAGCCATCAAGACAATAGCATCTCTGCTGTGCTCTAAGAAATCACAATCGGAATGGTCAATGATTGAACGAAGCAGGACATGGAGTGAATATAATGAAGGGGATAGAGTTCTAGCTAGTATCAAACTTAGTTATGACTATTTATTTACCTTCATTATCTCTCAAACAATGTTTTGCATATTGTGCAAGTTTTGAGAAAGACACAATCTTGGAAAAGGATCGACTCATACAACTTTGGATGGCGCAAGGGCTATTTAGTCCTCCAAATCATCAAACAGAATTGGAAATGGAGGACATCGGTAGCATCTATTTTGATTTTCTGTTGAAGGGCTCTTTGTTCCAAGATGCTCAAAAGGATGTTTCAAACAACATCGCAACTTGTAAAATGCACGACATTGTGCATGATTTTGCATTGCAAGTGTCGGAAAAATACTGCTACCACGTGAAAGATTGGAGGAGCAAAAACAGTAAGATTGAAGCCGTGCATGTATCGATCCATGGTTGCCAAGAGGAGATGTGGGAAAATTTGAGTATTTTTCTACCTTCAAATTTGCAACCTCTCAATCTGGAAGGTTTCGAAATTGACTTGCCTGAGGATTTATTCAAAAATTTACATGCCTCTCTGCATTGATAATTGTGGGTGAGTATGCCAAGAAGTTGCCAATTCAATTGGCAAACTAAAACTTTTGAGATTTCTTGACATAAAAAAGACACAGATACCGTGTCTTCCGGAGTCCTTCAAAAAGTTATACTATTTGCAGAGACTAAGAGCTGGCAGATTGAGAGAAGCATTGAAGGGGTTTTGGAATTTTTAAACTTTGAGGCAGATTCACTTGATTGAATTCAGCGACTTACCAAGATATAGCCAATTGAGTAATCTTCATACAGTAGCATTGGCAGAATGTGAGGGATCTCAAATACAAGAGTTGGAACACTTGGACAACCTCAAAGGAGAACTAAATATAGAAGTGAAGACCCATTAGGGTTTTACTGTATTGATACAACAATATATATAGTGTACATGGCAATAACAACATTACAACAATGCCCCTAAACTAACCCTAAAACATATACATTAACATCCCCCCGCAATCTGAACGAGAGGTAAACGAACATTCAGATTGTCTCGAAAATCAGTAAAAAGAACATGAGGCAAGCCTTTAGTCATGACATCGACAAACTGATGAGAAGAGGGGACATGAAGAACTTGGATAGCGCCTTGAGCAACCTTTTCACGAACAAAAATGAATATCAATCTCTACATGCTTCGTGCGGAGATCTTGAACAGGGTTGGTTGACATAAAAATGGCACTGACATTGTCACAAAACACAACTCGGAAAGTAGAGAACGCAACCAGGATATCTCAGCAACCGCATTGGCAACAGCTCGATATTCGGCTTTGCCACTAGAACGAGAGACAATAGGTTGTCGTTTGGAGGACCAAGAAACAAGATTGGAACCCAAGAAGACACAGTATCCAGAGGTCGAACGACGGGTATCAGGACAACCAGCCCAGTCTGCATCAGAATAAGCTACAAGCTGATCAAACCTAGTAGACGTAAGAGAAAGACCACAATGAAGAGTACCCTTCAAGTAGAGAAGAATACTCTTGACTGCCTGATAATGGGACTCACGAGGCTCGTGCATAAAGAGACAGACTTGTTGAACAACATAAGAAATATCAGGATGAGTAAAAGTGACATACTGAAGAGCACCAAGAATGCTACGATACTCATAAGGATCTGGAAATAAAGCATCATCAGTCTGAGACAACTTGCTCTTACTATCAATAGGCGTGTGAGCCGAATTAGCCGAAGAGAGCTGACAGCGATCCAATAAGGTTGCTATATACTTGGACCGAGACAAAAAAGAGGCCATCAGAAGTACGGGTAACAGAGATACCAAGGAAATAATACAAATCACCCAAATCAGTCATAGCAAATTCCTGTCGTAATTTAGCAATAGTGGATGCTAACAAAGAGGTAGAAGATGCAATAAGAAGAATATCATCAACATATAGCAAAAGAACAGCCATATCCCCACCATGGCGATAAACAAACATAGACGAGTCGGACTTGGAGGAACAAAAACCATGCGAAGCAATAAACGAAACAAACCGTTGGAACCAAGAACGGGGTGCTTGCTTTAGACCATAAAGGGCACGATTGAGCTTACACACATAGTCCGGATGTTGAGGATGAACAAAACCGGGTGGCTGCTTCATGTAGACAGGCTCTTGCAACAGACCATTCAAGAACGCATTTTTGACATCAAGTTGGTGAATGGGCCAGTGACGAGAAAGAGCCAAAGACAAAACAGTGCGAATAGTGGCAGGGCAAACCACTGGACTGTAAGTATCACCAACATCAATACCAGGGCACTGAGAAAACCCTTGGGCAACAAGTTGGGCTTTGTAACATTCTATAGAACCATCTGACTTTTCTTTAATCCGAAACACCCATTTTGAGCCAACCACATTCACATCAGGGGGTTTCGGAACAAGTGTCCAAGTGTTGTTGCGCGATAAAGCAGCAATTTCATCATTCATTGCTTGCTGCCATTCATCAAACTTACAATCCTCACGATATGTGGTAGGAACCTGCAAAGGAGTGTTAGCAATAGTACTAGCTAAATTAAAAATCGCCTTGGGTTTACGAGTACCATCCTTAGCATGAGTGACCATATGATGATGAGGCAGAATGGAAGGTGAGCTTAAAGGAGAGGAAGGATTTGGGAAAAGAGGTGCAGAAGACGGCAAAAACTCCAAACTAATAGATGGGACAACCGACGAAGATGGAGTAGGAGGTAGAGGAGTACTAACAGAAGATGGTAGATGTTGCGAGGGAAAGGAAAAGGTAGTAGGAGAAAGGGCAGAAGGAATCAAGGATGCAGGGGAGCGGAAGGGAGAGCTAGGAGAAGAGCGATGAGAGGTAGAGGAAGCAAAAGGAAATGTGTTTTCGTCAAAAACTACATGACGAGAGATAATGACCTTATTAGTAGCAAGATCAAGACAATGGTAGCCTTTCTGATTAGAAGGATAACCAAGAAAAATACAGAGAGTAGAGCGAGGCTCTAACTTATGACTGATTGTGTGAGAAAGATTGGGGTAGCAAGCACAACCAAAGGTGCGCAAGTGATCATAGGATGGAAGTTTGTGGTGGAGGACCTCATAAGGAGTTTTATTGTGTAGGAGAGGAGTAGGGAGACGATTTAAAAGGTATGTGACTGTATTAAGGGCTTCAATCCAGAAAGTGGAAGGCATAGAAGCCTGAAATAAAAGAGTGCGAATCATATTGACAATGGTACGATTGAGACATTCTGCTTTACCATTTTGTTGAGAACAAGCAGTAGTAGATAAGCGGAGGTGAATGCCATGAGTTTGAAAGAATTTCCAGAAAGAATGATTTTCGTACTCACCACCTTGATCACATTGAAAAGTACGAATTACAGCATTGTATTGTGTTTTCACATGGGCATGAAAATTGCAAAAGCAAGAGAAAACATCAGCTTTAGATCGAATAGGAAATACCCAACAATAATGTGTGTAATCATCCAAAAAAGTGACAAAATACTTATATCCAGTAGGAGAAACAACTGGAGAAAACCATACATCAGAATGAATAAGCTCAAAAGGCAAAGTAGTCTGAGACAAAGACGACTCAAAGGGTAAACGAACATGTTTCCCTAGTTGACAAGCATGACACAAATCTAAAGTAGACCTAGAACAAGGAATAAGAGAAGCATTTATTAAGGTGGCCAACACACGATGGCCAGGATGACCTAAACGATGGTGCCAAGTGACAGAAGTAGACCGAGTAGTAGCAAGAGCTGGAACTGAGGATGGGAAGGTGCAATTGACCAGAGGATTAGAGAGGTCCAGAACTATTGCACCGAAGAAGTTGTGTCTTCGTGGGTAGATCCTTAACAGAAAAACCAAAAGGGTCAAATTCTACAGAGCAGTTATTATCAGTAGTAAATCGACGTACAGAGATTAAATTTTGAGTGAGAGATGGAACATAAAGAACATTATTAAGAGATAAAGAACGACTAGAAGCAGAGAGATTTGAAGAACCAAGGGATTTAATAGGTAGCAAAGCACCATTACCAACACACACTTTATCAGGACCATTATAAGGAGATAAATTAGTAAGCTTACCAGAATCATTTGTCATGGTTGTGCCTGCAGCAGAATCAAAATGCCAAGGAGTATCATGTTGAGAGAGAGTTGGATATGCAGTGAAAGCCGGAGTAGAATAACCAGCACCCATAAGGACAGAGGGGCACAACCAAGAGTAGAAAGAGGACAGCGGGAATCAAAGGAAGAAAGCAATCAACGGAGAGTAGCAGCAGCGAGAAGGAACGGCGGCGGGAAGACAACCACGGCCAGGAGAGCGGTTGATACCATATAGAAGTGAAGAACCGTTAGGGTTTTACTGTATTGATACAACAATATATATAGTGTACATGGTAATAACAAGATTACAACAATACCCCTAAACTAACCCTAAAACATATACATTAACACTAAAATTATACTCTCTTGAACTTGTGAAGAGGGGTGACTCTGCCATCAAGTCCAACTTGCCCAAAAAGTCGGGTGTTCAAACTTTGAAGCTTTATTGGCTGAAGGAGAAATTGATACTTGGGACGACTTGAGAGAGGATCACTTAGACACAAGACTCGAGTTGGCTATGATGAAAGGTTTGGAGGCTCATCCGAATTTAAAAGAATTAACAGTGAATGGTATTCCTATCAGTAAACATCCATCTTGGATGAAGAGAGAGAATGATCATATGCCATCAATCCTTGACAATCTGGTGAGACTCGAGTTAAGTTATCTGCCTAATTGTGAAAGCCTTCCAGCACTAGGTGACTTGCCTCGTCTTGAACATCTAAAAATACTGATGTTACCACGGTTGAAGCGCATCACAGAAGAATTCTATGCTTTGTCATCTAGGAAAAACATCATTAGTTGTGATGGGAAGGAAATAGTTTCAATTTTTCCTGTATTGAAGACACTTGAGTTGGGATATATGAGGTATTTGCAGGAGTGGTCAATTCGAATAGTTGCAGCATCAATATCAGTCCAAGTCAGGGTATGTCCTTGCCTTGAGACGGTGAAAATGACGACAATGCCGGGTTTGGATCATTTCCCAAATTTGATAATCTCAAGTGACGAGAAGCAAAAGCATTCATCCGAAGTTTCAGCTCTCAGTTCAAACATCCACCACAACCAACCACTCTATTTCCAATCGCTGCAGACGCTGGAAATGTGGGAATGTTTCATGTTGACTTCATGGATTTGCAAGCTCATCCCGAGCTCGGCGCCACTTGATAATCTGAAAATCGCCGCCGAACCGGAGTTCTGGCCCAAGGATCTGCATCACCTAATCAACATAAAGAATTAGAATTGAGAGAAGCTAACAGCAATGCGTGCCAAAGACGAGATTACATTCTGCCTTGGCCCGATCTTCCCATCTCTCTAAAAAAGCTTACATTGACTAACTTGGCCTATGTCAGGTCTCTTCCTCATCAGATACGATATTTGGCTTCTTTGACGGAATTAGATATAAGTTTGAAGGCATTGGAGCGACTTCCAGAGTGGTTGGATCAATTAAAATGTCTTAAGAGACTGACTCTTTACGGTTGTATAAACCTCAAGGGTTTACCGCCGGCAGACACTCTTCGACGCCTTACCTATTTTAAGCGTTGAGGGCTGTGGATGGGTGTTTTTACAGGAGTCCAGGAGGAGGGAAGGAGATGGCTCAGAGTGGCACAAGTTTTCTCACATTCCCAACCGGACGATAAGCTACGGTTCTTGCATTGGAGGGTAAAAAAAAAAAAAACTAAATTCTGATCTCCTTTTCATGAGTTTAGCAGACCTTTGTGAGTCTCATCTAATCAAACTTCAGCAGTCAGCCATAGGCTACGAAACCATGTGTTAAGTTGTCTTATAAACATTACCTTCAAATCTGAAAATGTGCTATAATGAAATGTTATGTTTATGTGATTTTTAACCTGGAGTCCTCTCTGCATCTGTGAACTGTAATGCAGATAACCGGGAAAAAATTCCGTGGATCAGAAATTGCATCCAGGAATTGGAATAATGGTGAACTACAAAGTGGTCCAAGCTGTGTTCATATCTTGCTAGCTTAGAAGAATGAGATACGACCTTTGGGTATCCATCCTAGTTCAATAGTTGATTCAATGGATTACGATTCAGTTGAACACTTTGTGCATTTCAGCATTTGTATCTGTTGAGATGATCTGAACAGTTAATTAAAGGTCATTAGTGAATCTAGTAGAAGCTTTTCGTTTGTGCAGACTTAGTATTCTTAGTTTGGAATGAGATTGTTATCAATGATTTGCTTCTGCAGAAAAGAGATTCACTCTGTTTTCGAACTCTCTGCAAGTTAAAACCGGCACCAACTCACCCCCGTATGTAAACAAGGTTTGTGTACGTTAAATTAAGTTTCCATGTAGAAGAGACTGGCAAATACGTACTAAAGGTTTACTATAGTTCAATTTATTCAATATAGAGTCGCATAAATCCCCGATATCATTGTGGTCCAGCATCATTTCCCCTGCCGATGCGAGAGTTTTTGTGGACGCTGCCTCTACTTGCTATCTGAACAGAGTTGTGCTTCTTCCAAGCAAAACTACTTTATTAATTAAAAGTAACACTCCCTCCGTCCCGAAATTATTGTTCACTTTGGATTTTTATTTTTAGTTCAAATAGTACGAGAAGTAAAATTTCAAACTAAACAATAATTTTGGGATAGAGACAGAACTGTACTTTCTTTTAAGAAGGTCCTTCATTGAAAAGAGAGAGAGAGAGAGAAATTCCACAATATGTACAATTTTCTTTTAGCTACATGTTGCATATATATAAACTGAAGTGTCTTGTTAAATATTGTATCTTTCGGAAATAAAAATCTTATACAGTAAAAACATCCATAAATTTACATGTATTTATAAGATTTTCTGAAAAAAGTTATAATCTCATTTTTTTTATTATTTGTTTTCATTATCTGTATTGGTCCCAACTTGAAGCCGAAAAAGAAAATTTACTTTACAAATTTTATTAATTTATAAATGAATATACCCCCATTGTAAGTGGTAACTGGTAACTAGTGTAACTTAATCCGACTGGATTGATGACTGTCCAAGATTGCACTAGGAAAACAATAACAAACAAATAGAAAAACAAAAAAGAAAAATACTAACTCCTTTAGTTAATTAGCTGGCCTTATTTTGCACATGAAATGATTCCAAACACCCCAATACCCGCGGGCCGCAGTATGCTGCTCTTTGTGTAATTGTCGAATGAAAATCAAATCAAACAACCAGCAAAGCTACCGCTATTCGAAAAATTGAAGTCAACTACTCGTAAGGCTGGTCATTTTGAACCATAGTTCGGGTCGACCCGACGACCCGAACCAAACCGAAACCGAACCGAAATTTTAATTTCAGATTGGACCCGTTCGGATCAAAGATTTTAAAAGGTGGAATGATTAAGATCGGTTCGAATCAAACGAATATCTAAATTGAACCGAATAAAACCAAAACCAAAAAAATAATTTAATAACGCCATCGTTGACAGCCGACAACAACCATTGACCGCCTTCGCCGGCCGCCGCCGACACAACTTCCGGCGAACATTCCGACGAAGTCATCGGAAATTTTATTTTTTCCGATGACCGATGACTGGCTCCGACGTGATGACGTCATCAAAAGATTTGATGATGTCATTATGAGCGAAATGGTTCGTTTCGGGTCAATTTGGTTCAGACCCGAACTTTAACCCGAACCGAACCGATGATGATCCGAAAGAAAATTGTCCCGTTTCCGAATCGATCCAAAATAACGGTTCGGATCGGGTCGGTTTTCCTCAAAAGAATAGCCCTAATTACTTGTTTAATTAATTAAATTGCGCGTTTGTACTTTTAAAAATAACTAGGTTGTTTTTTGTCGCGTGTTGCGCGACCAGTTTTTATATATATTATAAAATTTTAAAACAATTAGTAATTTAAAAAATGGAACAAAAGAGCAATATTAAAATAATTAAGTAACAAAGGAGAATATATTATAATTGAGTAGCAATATAAAAATGCAACAAAGGACAATATTTTTAGCATCATTGCTTGTTATATAAATTAAGATCATGCTAGGATAATTAATAGTCGATGTTGATAAATGTCATGTCTGAGAGAGATAAGAGAAGTTAAACGGACTCATGCCTGTACGCACATAGAAAATCTCTCTTAAGGGTTAACTATCCTGAATAGATGGAATTTCATATCTAAGAACAGCATTTTTTTCAGTATTTCTTTTTTTTTTTTTTCTGGTTAAGCAAGGATCGTCAATTCTGCTGTCTGGGAAAACTGCCACCGTTTGTTTCTCCTCAATCAATAACTAAAATGAACGCACACTAACCTCCATGCCGACAAAGGCAATAAATATACATGCTTAGGGGCATACCTCTAACTGATTCCTGATCCAAACAAATGAGTTTCAAAACTGGTGAACAGCAGATAATTGAAACACCCAATTTGCAATTAAGAAACAAAATATATATATATATATATATATATAGCAGAAACTTTCTTCAGATTGCCCTGTAAGGAAAAAATATCAAGCAACAAGTTGCAATTTGAAAGCTAATCATAATACTTCACCCCTGACACTCGTAAATTTCAAAGAAGTAACAGAGACATTTGAAACCTATGCATAATACATCACCCTTGACACTCATAGAATTCAAAGAAGCAACCCCAATAATTGCTTACATGTAGAATCTTATATTTGCTTCTAGGAAAACCAAGGGAAAGACAAAAGGCGCCATGGAAACTAATGGATTGCAGCAATGCATAAAGAAAGATGTCTATAGTTGAATGGTGTGAAGGGAAAAGCTTTACAGAACAACACTTTAAGGAAACCAAGGGATTCAGCAGCATCATCCCCTGTATTATGTAACTAATGCAAAAGTAATCAAGATCTTCCCAAGAACTATTTATCCAGACATGTGTCCTTAACCCAAATAGTAAGGATTTGTAATATAAGCTCAAGTTTAAGGAGACCACAAATGAAACTAACCAAGCAAACGAGGTAACTGCCAACATTACAAGCAGAATACTTATGCTGCGAAAGATTTAAATTGAAAAATCTGCACAAACACTCAATGAAGATGGATCCTACATGTCAAGGTGGTTAGTAGAAGCATTCAGACTTCAGATGGTGTAGCAGTATTTTCATTGAGCTAGCATCTTTTCAAAAGTGATTAATATCTTCCTTAAAGGAAAAGAAATTGACACTTCATTTCATGGAAAAAATACTTCAACATAAATTATATAGCCAAATTAGTTGCAAGCATCATAAAACAAATACTCTTCTGTACTAAAAAAAGAAAAAGAAAAAAAATGACATATACTCTTCGGTAGTCCCAATCGTATCATGCAATTCGATGACTAATTTCGCTATATAGCTCTGATAAGTTATTTCTCAGGCATTGCAGTGACGGCAATATATTAGCTGCAGAACTTGCAACAGTAAGAGATGTAACCAACTACGCAAACACAAACTTCTTTAGGGTCTGCAATCATTTTAAAAAGCTAATGTGCAACTCCCACACCATAAAATTCTCTGACTTTTCCTCAAAACTGATAGGACCAGACCTCACATGATGGAAAGTGGAAGATAGAAGCAATACTACTCCAGAAGCAAACAAGATAACTTGTATACCACAATGCAGAACGAATTTAGGTAGCTAGGAGGCAAGCAAGTGCATGAAAAGTGTAGCCATTGCAGCAAAAAAAAAAAAAAATGCAGTCAAAGGTGATTGTAGACCAATTTCAACTTACACAAGCATGACTACTTGTTCTAAAAACAGAAGCCGCCCTGAAATCATAGTGCACTTCGAACGTGAGCTTTATCCCAATTCTAAGCAACATAGGCAGTACTAAAAGTGCTTAAATATTATCAATCAATAAATACACATCAAAAATCACAACATAGGCAGTACTACAAGTGCTTAAATATTAAAAGTGCTTAAATAATATCTGAAAGAAAATCCGAAGAGTATATGTCATTTTTTTTCTTTTTTTTTTTTAGTACAGAAGAGTATTTGTTTTATGATGCTTGCAACTAATTTGGCTATATAATTTATGCCAGAAAGGTTGTTTTTTCATGGAATATCTCTGTTACAAACTTAAGATATCCCTGTTACAAGATTAAGATTTTCAATTCCTTTTGAATGCGGTTAATCCCATGATGATCTATTCATGTGTTATTATAGTGTTTTGGCTTTAGGGAACTATGGAATCAAAGTTGAATCCATTACTGGCCAAAGCTGCTGAGGCATCAAAGATTATGACAGAGAATGGAAAGAATGGAGCTGATACATCAAGCT